CACCTTGGTTCTCCCAGTCCTTCAAATCGTCTAACATTTGCAGTATAATGACAATCCTCCAGTTCAAAGCTCTGTTTTCTTCTGTTGCTTTTAATACTTAAACACAAAGTGAAATGCATTTTAAAGGTTTCTGATACTGTCATACTCTGGATGAATGAAGTTTTTGTTCCTTTTTACTCTCTATTTATTCCTTTTAAATGAAGGTCCGTCTTTAAATGTAAACCCCTCCCTCTCTGTGTGTGAGATAATTGTGCACCTCTCCTCTTGCACATGTCTGCTTTGCATTTTTGTCACCCAATTTGCAGTAATTGGTCACCCCTCACAGCGAATGAGAGCTCAGCACCGTGTGAGAGTTAGAGCTTGTCTGACATTCTCTTATTGAGAAAAAAAGTGAGCTCTTCTGAGCATTTGCAACCAATTATTTTTGCTTAGTTGGCTGCTGAGAAGGTTTAGTGAGGATGAGACCTCAGATTTTGGGTTGATTGTTTACTGTCAAGACTTGTTCTGTGTTCGAAGGCTGACATGGATATTTTTAGTTGGTATTATTCTGTTGTGTGCGCCTGATTTGACTCAAACTGTGATGGTTATTTGCCTTCTGTCAACCAATTACTGGCCACAACATTTTCTCAGCTGTCCACATGTTTGCTCAGTTAGATTTCAGATCTGGTTAAACAGAAAAAAAAACTGGCTCTGGTGACAAACCTGCACTGTGCTGTTACATTCCCAAGAGGCGCTTCTCATTTGAAGTTTGAACTCTTGGGAAAACAACCGCAGATATACGCTTTTTTCCTTTTTTTATATGCAGAGTTCTCATTCAGTAATCCAGTGCATGAATGATATGAGAGGAGATAAAGCCTGAGGAAGGCTGAGGTTCTGGAAACTTCACACGATGCAGAGACGGTGGTTTCACTGCTGCAGAGAGAAGCTCGTAGCTGCAGCATCCACTCACTCCCCCATCTCTCGCCGCTCTCTTCTGCTCCTGTCAGTTTGTCTCAACTCTTAAACATCAAGACAGAGGTAACTGGGCCAGTGTATATGTCCTGCCAAGTGTTTACTGTGTGCATGTCTGAACGAATGCATGCCAAGGATATAGAGCTGACATGCAAAACTGCAGCCTTAAAAACCAGATTCCATATTTTATTTCAGTTCCTTTGTTTCTGTATTTATAAACCCCAAACTATCCGTTAAAAATATGATCTACATTCCCTTAGCTGCTGCTAAATGAACGCTCTGTGTTTGCTGTAGCAAATGAGCGCAGTTACAGAGTTGGCAGGAGGGAAATGTTTGTGCTTGAGGCCTCCTGTATTCCCATAGTCCCAGTGTGTATGTGAGGATATAAATAGACTTGCTACACCACCAGAAAATGGTGCTATAGGGTAGATGCCAGTTGTAGATTCAATCCACTGTAGCCTGACCCACACTCTGCCCTGGATGACCTCTGCACCAGTACTGCAAAAGGAGCCAAAGCTGCAACAGGGGACTCTTTGCAAAACCTGACAGATGACAAGTAATAAATAATACTCTCCTGGGCTGCTCTGTTCTGCTGTGTGTTTGTGAGTTGCTGGAGCGAGCAGCACACCGAGCAGTCTTGCATTATTTGTACGCTATAGTGAAAGTATATATCCGTTTTCCTTGAGGAATAGCTTTCGGTTCAGTGAAATGATGCTTTGCTTGCTCCGAGCACAGAGATAAAAATCATTCCGGTTGCAGGATTTAAACTTATGACTGTTTCTGCTTTAATCTTCACCGCTCAGGCTCAGGTAGTTTCCTGTGTGTGCATGTGAATGAAGCCAAAAGATCAAATAGCAATATTGATGAGTAAATAAACAGCAGCGAGTGTGGTTCAGTCCTTTGTGTAGTGACGTGCCCTCAGGGAGTACTGGTCCTGCTCCACACTGATACACTCCTGACTGACAGCCTGCTCCTGATTAATTGTGTGTGGGTGTTTGTGCGTGGGTGCTGATTAAAAGGTGAGAAAGGGAGGGGCGTTCAAACGTGTCGTGTCCTGAGGTGTAGTTGTGTTTAAGCTGACCATGAGCTAAACTATGAGGCTAGTTTGTTGCAGTCTCTTGAGTCAGAATGCAACATCAGACTCTGGTGTGCCTGCAGGTTTTTTGGAGAGTTACATAAAAACATATCTTTTTAACTTAACTCTTAAATTAATCCACATTTAGCAGGCTACATAACATTTACCATAAGATGAAAATAAGAGTGATATGATAACTAAAGTTTAGCTTTGCTCCCAGAATTGAAAAAAAAACTACTTTTTTTGTATGCAGCTATATTTGGGGGAGTATTTTGTTGTTCAGCCTGACATAGAAAATGTTGTTTGAAAGGAAACTAAAGGTTTTCTGACAACTCTGAAGGGGTGTACTAATTTATGCTGAGCACTGTACATACAAATGCAGGAATGCCAATAAAGCCACAAAGAGAGAAATTGCCATTTTTTGTCAGATTTTTTCTGAACAGGCTGGCTTTTTTATCCCCTTTTGTTCATCAAAACATCATTGTTCATTGTTTTAACTCAGGCTGTCAGCAGCAACGCTTTAATTCTGATGTGATTAAAGTCTGAAATTGATACGCTCGTACTTTTAATCTTGTGCTTTTTTATTTCCCTTTCGGCACATCATAGTTGAGCCTGCACCTCCTGGCTCTTGCTCACACCATGATGGAGAATAATAACATTACTGTAGTTTTGACTGGCACAAGATGAAAAAAAAAACAAAAAACCTCCCATATGGTTTATCTGACAAGTAAAATACACTTTGTATTGAACAAAATCAAAGAAAATCAATTATTTGCATGAAGTAAGTTATAGTTGCTCCCTCGCTCATCCTTCCCCCTAAAGATATCATCACAAATTTGTGCACAACGACAACTACTCTCTCCGAGTAGTGCATTCGAGCTGGTGCATTTTCTGTGATCTTGTCTGTAAAATGTTTTCCAACACATAAAGAGCGTGACATAAATCTAAGCAGATAACTAGATTACTGCAGGAAGTTAGATCTGACTGTGCTGATTGGTCACAATCACATTATGTAAATGCACAGACACAACTGTATGCTGATTTGATTATAGTGGATTTATACTCTGTCAAACTGGCTGACATGCTCGATAGTTATTATCAATTATTATGCACCCACGGGTTATTATGCGCTCACAACATGCATCCAATAAACACTTTGCCTGAAGGTGCCTTCTCCTCATCTTTATTCAGGTAGTTTGAGAACATGGATGTCTGCTTGGCGACTCTGGGCTGAGGGAAACCTGCATGTCAGAGCTGATTACACTCCTACTCAATAAGAAATACAGTCCATGATTGATACAGGAGTCTTATGTAACTTTTCAGCATAAACAGAGCCAATTAGTTTGGATCTCTTCAGGGAGACCTGTTCTGCCTCTGGCTATAAAGTTCAATTGACTCTGTAATTCTGGTATAAACAGAGAAATCACTAACAGAAGACGAAATAAGCTTTAATATTTTCCTCCTTTTCTGAAAGAGCTATTTGTATCAGATACTTTCCAAAGTGCTTTTACGCCACAAACCTTCACCCATCTACACACAAACATCTGCTGGTGACACTGGCTGATACTCCAAGTATCCATCAGTACCCCCCCATCTCAGTAAAATGCTACCATGGCTATGACTCAGAAAGCAATCGAGTCTGTGTTTGCCCACTGAGATGCTTCTGCAGTCTGCATGTCAAACCGCAAACTTTCCAGCTGAATGATAGGAACTTTATTCAGGGGTACTTGAAAGATACAGTGTGCAGAAATGTATGTAGAAGATTTTTTTGTCTTGCTCTCCATTATCTCGTATTTACTAATGGGGTTTTTACAGTTGCTGTTACTTTAATCTATTTTATTTTACCAACAGCTTATTTATCTAATTCTGTCATCTTTTTTTACTCAATACTGCTCACTATCGTACTTTGTCATGTCTTGTCCTATGCGGCTTTGTTTGCACTGTAAACCAAATCTACCCACACATACAAATATACTAATCTTAACCCCTAAACTAGACTAAAACACTCACTTGCACCATTAGTAAAGCTACAGTGGCCTTTGGGACAAACGCTCCTGTGCTCTATAACTACAAATTATCCAATGCACGACAACCACTTTCTTTTTCTTCTTCATGTGCGTTTTCACTCGACTTTATAAAGCTTTGCAGGTCCATATGTCATGACATGTTCTGTTAATTTAGTTTTTCCCTGGTTTTGTTATTTGAGTTTATTTTCTTTGTGTTTTTCCTCGTGTTTTTGTTCCCTGTTGTTCCTGTGATCCAGTCTTTTGAGTTTTCAGTTTGTGTTTGACCCTGTTCCTCTCATGTTCTCAGTGTTTTATTCAGTGTTTCTTGTTGTATTTTGTAGTAGTTGATTCCTTGTCTTTCTACTCTGGTTTTACTTCCTTAGTTTTACCTCCTTTGTTAATCACTAACGAGTTTCACCTGAGTCTCGTCTGCCTCACCTGTTGCTCGTTTCCCAGTGTGGGTATATATCGTCCCTGTCTTCCCCTCTGTCCTTGTACTTTAGTAGTAAGTTCTTTGCTGCTTTTTATTTCGTTCTTTTTAATTAACTATTTTTTTCATTATTCAACTCTGCCACATGACACCATAAACATTGAAAAACCTCTCTCATGAGCTTTAAGGTGCAAATTACAGCGAGTGTCAGCTGTTGATACAGAGAAAACCTCTCCTATTAATCACACACACATACTGAACATGCTGATCCCTACCTTCAATTAAAGCTCTTTTGTGATGGACACATGGACATGCCCTTAATGATCCAGTCACATTCATCTCCATGTGTATGGTGTATACAAAAGCTCAGCTGAAACAACTCTGAAGTGGTAAATTAATGTTATATAATCGTACGTGTTTCTGCAGGGAGGCCGCTAAAACTGCTGTCAGAGCTCTACTGGATCGGCTTGTTTTACTACTTTATTTTGTTGCTCAAATAGATCAGAATAAAATAACAGAAACATAAATATAAAAATGAATAAACAAGGGAGTAATGAACCAGCACTTTATTTAAGACACATGGGTATTTTACAGTTCATGGTTTCACTTCAGCATGAAATTAAATTCACATAAAACCTCGATGCTCCATGGCAAACCTGTATTAAAATATCGACACTGTAACACTTGAATACTCAATAAAACAACAACTGAAGACCTATGTACAGAAATATTTGTCATTTCTCACATTTGTCAACATAAATAACGTCAGTGTGCTTCTTCATGTTGTCCTTGACACAGTTTTTGCTCCCTGAACAGAACTCAAACTACTAAACCTGACAGTTTTCTACTTTAAGACAAACACTGAAAGGTCAAAGCGTCGAAATCGATCAGTCTAAAAAACAGTAAAACCGTTTAAAAGTAAAAGTAAAAGAAAACGCTCAACCTGGGAAAATCCAAGTCCTCTTTTCCTCTCAGTGGATGAAATGAAAAATTTCAACACTTCACAGTTCACCCAAAAGTCTGAGCTGGACGGGAAAAATTAAATACAACAGATGTTTAAAATACATTATGAGGACACGGAGATGATAACACAGTCTAAGCCGAGCTGTCATAACACTTGGACAAGGCTCACCTGACTCTTCTGTTCAGGATCACCTGTCGTATCTGTCTGAGCAGGACCAGAAAACCCGTTCTCTGCTCGGGCCTCGGGTCTCACTGAAGCACATACAGCATGAAAAACTTTACATTCAAGACTTGAGAAAAGGCTGCGACTAGTTCATGATGTGTTGACAAATCACAGGTAAATATGGTCAGTAATGCAGCTCTGTACAGACGATGAGTAAGACTTCCAAAATGCATGCCTATTAAATATACTAAAATAAATACAGTAAGTCTGCACCACAGAAGTTTGCTACGCTGTAAGAGCAGGCGGCACACAGAAGAAGAGGACGGATAATGGCGTGAAATTTGTACTTCTCTCAGAACATTATCATTATTAAAATACACAGAGGAGTGCACTGCTATGGTTTAAAAACTTGCAAGTGTAGAACGGGTGTTTATAATCCAATTGTGAAAGGCCAACCTTGGTCGTTGAGCGGATTAAAAACTGATGTGGTAGATCAGAACTGGGGTGTTGCAGTTGCACTCCTGCTGCTTGCTTGGATTCAAAATTTCAAGTACCGTTTTTAAGTACGAAGTCACTTTTGATAATTACGAACAAAACTACCTAAACCTTCCTCCTGTCATATTCAAAAATATACATTTCTACATTCAATTGATGTAAATTTCGGTGTAATTTTTTGCCCTTTTTTCTTGCTCAAAGCAATCATCCACAATAAAAGCAGCGTATTAAAAATAGCTTCTGTTTTGCCGGATGAAATCTTTGGAACCATGTCCTTGTCCCTTCAGAGAAATCCCTAACTTCTTTTTTTTTAATCCCAGCCTCCAGCACATGTGCAAACTGAGCTCTCAGCACTGACTGTGAAATGAAACAGGGCGAGCCGGGCTCTCTGCGGTTCCCTTTTCTTTTTTTTTTTTTTTTTTCAAGTAAGGCTCACCTCATTTCCCCTTTTTGACACAGTCCAGCACGCTCAGACAAATCAGTTAAGTTATAGTGCTTATCATCACGCATGAACAAATCTGAAATAGCACTGCGACATGTTGAGGAAACAACACACATCTGCAGACAAGTAATTTCCTTCACGATGAAATGTGACAATGTGGAGCGAGACGAGAATCGATCACACCTTTTAAAAAAACAAGTCAGGAGCTAAAATACATAAAATCACTATAACATACGCAGAGTCAAAACTTCCTTTTGACAGTTTTAGACACTCCTACACTCCATTTTTGTACTTTCATGATGGACTGTGTTGTAATAAACTTGTGTCAGTGTTTGGATTAAAATTTGACTCATTTTTTAAGAGGTGTTTAGATTCTTGGCGTCACTACACGATACATTTTAAAACATCTACCTTGGTATGTACAGTCCACATCATTGTCAAGCATTTCTACCTATTAGATACACACTTATGTAATATTTTGAGAGACTACAGAGAACTGTCCTACATTTCAGCTAGATTTAAGAGACCGATTACTCTCTAAATTGCTCCTACATGTAATAAATAACACAGCTCATAAAGGAGCTTAGCTCCTGAGAGTCATAAATACAGCAGAAGGCGTTTTCATAATCGCTTGCTCTGTCTTTATAGTCACTGTTAAAATATTAATTTGTTTCCTTATTAATGTACATAAATTTAATCTCTGCTGAGAAGCACGACATTATGTGAAGATTGTTTGCTTGTTCTGAACTAGTTTTAGTATTTCTGTTTGCAGGACTGATGTCTACAGCTTAGATTCTCTCCTTTTATCTACATATAGTCTCGTGTGCGTTAAAACTCGCTGTTGTACTGTCATCCTTCAATGCGTGTTTGCTCTGTGGATGTTTACTGGATCATGGGGTCATCGTTCGGAGACATCAGAGTCGGGACGCCGATAAACGATTGGGTTTTGTCCTCGCCCTGGCTTGCGGCCCTCTTGGACACGGTGGTGAAGGACAGGTGGTCGTGCTCCAAGATGGCGAGGCGGTCCTGCGGCTTCTCCTTCTTCAGGTAGAACATCTTCCTGAGCTGCTTCAGCTGCTGCAGCTCACAGAAGGTCTCCAACACCACCAGCATGACGATCAGACCCAGGATTAGGTAGACTGAGGACACAAGCAAACAGAAAAAAAAAGATGAGGAATTATAAAAAGGTGAAAGCACTAGGAATCAGTTTATTAAAAAAAAGAAGAACTAATTTTACAGCTGGAGGGTCATCTTTCTTTATTTCTGTGTCTTTGTTTGCATGGAGACTATCGGCTTGCATAAATAAGTCTGAACCTTAAACTGATGATGCTTCTGATTTTGCATCAATGAATGACATCTTATCACAAACACACCCAATCAAACTGTAAATATCTTCATGTTTCATGCAGTTCTTCTTTTAAAAACTCTTCGGTCCACAGTTTGGTTCAGTAACCTCACTGGACAGGACTGAAAATCTCTGACCAGAATAGTCAGTCTGACTCAGAAAATTATTGGCACTGACCTGCCTAAACTAGATGCACTTTATAACTCAAGGCTCCCGGCTTGTGCTTCAAGGATAGTGAGCGACACCAGTCACTCTACCTCCAGCCTTTTTGTTCCTCTCCCCTCCAGTAGATGGTACCGCTCAATCAAATGCTCTACCTCCTGGTTTTCAGATAGTTTCAGCATCAAACAGAAGTTTTTAAATACTATTAGTATCTTCATCATTATTTATTATTGTTATTATTGTTATTACTTGCAGTGTCCTTTTAAACTTTACTTTAACTGTAATTCTAACTCACTTTATTCTATTTTTCTATGTAACTTACTTGGTCTGTCTTTATTGTCCTCTCACAAGCACTTTCCAATGTGGTTTCTTTTCTACAAATGGCAAATAAATGACCCTGACTCTCTGACTCTGACTTCCTCTGCATATTTCTTTATTCCCTTTGTCCCAGGTTGTTGTTGACATGTATTGGCACAAGAGGGCGATGTTACAAAAAAAACAACAAGTCTACGCTAAAAGAAACAGTTCAGAAAATATTGGAAATCCCCCAAACCAATATAAGTTGATTAGTGCCAGCTGCAGTACTTTCACTATCTCCACCTGCTATATGCAAACCGTCTATCTCTAAAACCCAAAACCCCCAGGAAACCACCCAGAAACCATAAGTGTAACGGACAAAAATTACCATAAAAATATTGTGAAAGGATCATTTCCTTTGTGGTTTAAAAAGCAAAGTTCAGTAGTAAATACTTAAAAATTCCTCCTTCCTCAAAAACAGTCTTGAATTTGCAGGCGGTCCCATGTTTTCCATGTCATGTGTAAACACGCGGCGGCAATGTGCTTCTAAAAAAAGCAAAACCATAACGTGTGTGTGAGTGTACACGGTGGAGCTAATCCCTAAATGCAAATCACAAAACTAGTTCCTCCCTCCCACTAAAGCCGCTCGCAAAATCAAAACAAACCAAAGAGTTCACACCCGAATAAATGACACAAGTTATTTAGTATTTGTGGCAAACTGGTGTTTAGCTTTTCTGTTGCAATGAGCCAAATGTCCTCCCAGATAACGGAGATGTCACTTCCGATACAGAGCAGTTACGTTTTCACAGAGGAAGCTGTGCAAATGTGTCTGGTCTTATTTGAGTACACATGCACACTCTTGTCACAGCCGCTTTCCCTCCTACAGACTGACACGCTGCGCCGACTGAATGACGTCTCTCTCTCTCTGGCTGCTGCACTCACACACATGCTGGTGCAGCCTCTGACGTTTGTGCACATCCACATTTTCTTGAGTGCGCTGTACGAATTTGTTCTTCAGGCTAATTTCAGTCATCATTAGCCCTGATGGAAAAGCTGCACAATCACTCAGAAAAGGCGATCAATAACTCTGCTTTCCATCAGAGTGTGGCTTGTTATTTCTCCGGCACTCTTTGCTCTACCTAACACAACAATGATTGTATGATTGTATGAGCAGGATGTGTCAAAAGCTTGTTTCATTAGCAACATATGGCAGTTTATAAACATCCAAAGGGGGTAAAAGCCTCTCTGTCAAGTAAAACGTCTGAAAAAAGTTGTAAAAAATTTGATTTGTGTGGAATTATGGGTGAAAAATTCTGACAGGAGACAATTTCTATGACCTCTGTAGTTTTAATCTCACATGTGGCAGTGTTATTAATCCCTTATGGTGCAAAGGTTGGTGACTTTTTGTAATAATGACCTTTATCTTCACAACTAGCTGTAATCCTGAATGTACTTTAAGAGCAGTAGCACACTGTACCTTCACTATTTTGTGCATAACACCAATTTTTTTGCACCTATATTACTAAAAATGCAATATCTGAGTCATAATTTCAATGTGAGAGAAGCTAGGAAAAACTCTGTCATGGGAATGAAGTGCATTAAAATATCATTTAAGGCCTTTGTTCACCATACTGCATGTAGTATAGAGCATGATTTATGTAACATTTCACTGAAAGGGTCAAAAAGTACACGCGGCTTGTTATGTCACGCCCAGGTGGGTCAACGTTCACCATCATAAAACCACCATATGTGATATTCCCACATCAGTTAATCATTAGATAATAATTCTGAGAAATTGGGAGTATAAATTAAACAAACTGGGTCAATCACTAAAGTGCGAGTTGCACCTGGTGGCACGGTGTTTAAATAGAAGCCTTGGGTGGGTGTTTCCTTTCGGCCAATTGCAGCTCAGGTAATAAAATATATGTGGTTTTTTCAATATCCTTAAAGTTTATAACATGAAACAGGAAGTTTGCAATAACTGTTCTATGAATATCATGGCTGTGTGGAAGTCATTGTGTCACTTAGATATACTGTTGAAGTATGATTTAGGCTATTTTCAGTACAGCTTCAAATAGTTTGACTGTAGACACCTCGGTTAGGATAAATATAACAAGCTGAGTTTAAGCGAAAAGCTCCAAAAACATGTAAAAATCAGTCCTCACCAGTGATGGCCACTTTGTAGAGCTCCCTGAACCTCTGATTGACAGCCTCTCCAGGTACGTAGTCTCCCAGACCGATGGTGCTGAGGGAGATGAAGCAGAAGTAGAAGGACTCCAGGAAGTTCCAGTTCTCCTCTAGCGCTGAAAAGATGGCAGCCGGGATGAGGAAGAAGCAGGAGACGGCCAGCATGGCAAGCAGAGTGGCGTGGACGATGGCCACCAGGGGCTTTGATATGCCCCACTGCTGATGGAAGTACATGATGGGCCTCCGCGTGCTGTACACCATGATCCTCTGCACCACCGCAGTGAGGAAGAGGAGGGTGAAGGGGATGCCGATCACTGAGTAAATGATGCAGAAGGCTTTCCCGCCGTCAGACAGGGGTGCTGTGTGACCATAACCTGCAGAAAAACAACAAAATGGATTACATATTTTGAATGCAATATCAGATTAGACAGATTTCCATGACACATCTGTGTGGGAGGATTTGTGAAACACTATGACTAAAGTACAAACTAAAGTGGTGTTGACATTGGGTGGATACTTGTGTTATAGTGGTTGAAAAGTAAATAGGGGTCGGATAAATGTGTGTAAACTTATTCCTACACCTTTCAAATATTTGTTAATCCCTTTGTATTAAATGAATTATTGATTTTCCCTTTGGGGATCAATAAAGTCCTTCTTATCTTATCTTGAAGTAGGCTGACCATTCTGCTGTTCAAGTAAAATTTTGATACTGACTAAATGCACACGTCCCAAGAGATGCCAAAAATTTGATGTTCATCATCAGGACAGACCTTACGATCATAAAAATGTCGGAAAAATCAGAGCACAGGTTTTTGTTAGGGTGAAAAGGATTTTGGTTTAGACAGCAATCTTCTAAAACTTTCGTTGTGAGTGTGCTTTTTGTACAAAAACAGATCTACTGTCATACCAGAGAAAATAAAGTGGAAAATCTGATAATTTCAGATAACTTTCAGCCTCAGATCTCAGACTCTTTATGAAACACTGTCCTCAGGTTTAGAGAAAGATAAAGTGTTTCTTGTAAGCTGCTTCTATCTGGGTTGGTTGGCCTTCTGTTGTCATGGTGAAGACTAATCTTGTTTTTAATCTAGAGATTCTTTCAAACTAAACTGAAACACAGGAAGCCAACAAATTAACACTACCAACTTTTAAATGCTTCAAATTTGTAATTTTTTTCTTCAACTTTGCAAACATGCAATCAAATGCAAAAAGAGAAACTATTTTGAAATAAGATCTTTTTTTTTCTATCTCTACAATCAAATTCTGAGGCTTTAAAACCATGTCACATGAAATTACGTGCTGAATATCACAAACACCCTTCAAGTTGCTTTTCTGCAGGAGGTGATGCTGTAAAAATATTACGCCCTTGAGAAGTGAACCCAACAAGAGAGTTAAAAATACCACAGCTCACTAACAAGAGCACGCAAATGAGGAAACGGCTAATAGAGGTTTGCTTGTGATATGCAAAAAAAAGCAAACCCCACAATGTTCTTTGAACGTCTGCTTTTCATGCAACACAAGTGCTTTTGTTTAGAGTTAGATTAATATTAGGCTGCACCCCAGTACCCGCCCTGCTATCCTTATTATGGTATTAAAGTTAATGCTATGGTGTGTTTTGTAACTAGGCTGTGTTTGAAACTTTTAAAGATGTATTAACACCAAGTTTTTGATACAGACAAACAAGGAGCAATCAGAAACCATCAGAAGTCTGATCCAGATCATCCCTCCATGTAAAGGTATCAACAGTTTTGTCAAGGCTAATAAAAGAGGACTTAAGTGCGACCACGCTCCCTTTGCTCTGTAAGGTAACGACATGTGTTGAAATCTCAGATAACTGATAATCTTTGCAGACTAAAGTTCTCCAGCTATCCAGAGCGACACGCATCTGTAACCACGTTTCTTTTGAGCACCGCTAGATAACAGAAAACAACCTTGTTCACAGCGTCAGGCTGTTCACATACCATTAGACAAAACACACAAAACAATTTGCTTAAAGGGTTTGTTTCTGCCCGCAGGGGGAGAAGTTCATGATGTTTACAGACGCTGTCTTTACTCTTGGTGCTTCTTCCAATAACAGGAGTTATACTGTAACATGTCTGCCTGAATGAAGTATAGCGTTATATCTTACACTTTCTTTAGGTCAGGTCATGTTAACAAGAAGGCTGTGGTCATGACGGTAAGCCACTGTCTCATGAGTCAAAACACATTACCCAAGTGTTCACCTCCTTGAACTTTCCATATGTTGTCATGTCTCAACTCTAGTCAGTAAGGCGGTGTTTAACATTTCTTACTTACCCCAACAACCTGATACCTGTTTGTCCTGAATATGCTCCAGTTCTGAGGACATTTACTGGTTTTAAATCTCCTGCTTGTCTTCTATGATATATATAATACCTGTGGATTTCTGAGCTGCTTTTGGAATCAAGTCCAACAAAATGAGTCTGAACAGCCTGAGCAAATCAGTTTAGTTGTGAGGATGAATGCTACCATACAACTAAAAGATAAGTGTTATTTTTATTCTTTATATTATCCTCTTGATAGCTTTGTTGGTAGCATTTGCTCAAAAATCCTCAACTTATCTCAAATTTGTGTCTTTGAAAACCCTTGTTTCAGCCTGTGTCCAGTTATTGTCTCTTTGAGGCACTTTAATGCACCCTGGAAGATCATACTTTAGAAGCCTTCTCCACTGTTGTAATACTGTAAGGTTGTCCACATGGGGTTAATCAACATTCCTCTATTTAATTTGACTAATTATGAAATATGGCCACATGTTTTGGGCCCCAAATCCAGCCTGGAAGTAGTCTGAGGGTACAAAAAAGTCCTCAGCAACAAATCAAAAGTAAAAGTTGCACTTCCTATACACTATACCTAACATGAAATGTTTCCCTCGTGAATTATGTTGAATGTTTGTTTGGGAAGGATGAAAAAGAACAACACCACCCCTGTAAGCTCTTATAACTAAAAAAGACAGGGAGTTTAAGGGATGGTGACTTTGACAGTAGAAATAGTATTATGGCCTTGTGTCTGAAAATAAGTCTAGTTTGTCTTTTTCTATTTTTCTCTTATTTCTAATCCAGTTTGTCTCAGAGGCTCGTTTGTCATGGCCCACGTATCCTCTCCGTGACAGTGGACAAAGTGTTTTGCTAATTAAAACATTTGGCCTATATATCTCTAACGCTGGTGAATTGTATAGGGAGGAAATGGTTATGTTAAGTGGTTCTGCGCACCTGATCTGCAGCAGCATCTCCCCTACTCTCCCCCCCGGAGGTGAGCAGCTCTTACCTGTGGTGGACAGCACCGTGCTGGCGAAAAACAGCGCTGAGGTGAAGTCCCAGTTCCAGTTCGCTGAGGCGTTATTGAGGATGGAAACCCCATAATTACTGGCCTCCAGGGCTTTCTTGAGAAACCGCTCCAGACGCTCCTCGGACAGACACTCATTTTCCTGTAGGAACTGTTTCTTTATGGCCCTCAGCTCCTGGCGTAGCTGGTCCTCATAAGGCAGCTCGACGGAAGAAAAGACGACAGCTCCGAATATGAGATAGAGGACGTACCCCAAGACTAGAGATGCAAAATACCACGTCGATTTGTGACTCTGTATCAACCGCACACACGAATTGCTGGCGAGAGACTGAAGCATTCTCACTCGTTTGTTTGTGGTACCCGTCTCTACGAATAAAATAACACACTTGTACCGTTAATTTAGCCGGTTTTTAGGTGAAGCAGCCGAAATGTAGCCTATTCTTCAGAGAGGGATGTTGTTAACGACACCGCTGCTCTTCCCCCTCCGCGAAACCTGCTGTGGCACTTGAGACGTTCAGGTACAGTAGGAAATCTCAATACTTCATACCGTTATCAATATCATTTAACTTGAGAAGGTGAGATCAGACGGCTGAGAGGCTGCAAAGAGACTCTTGAGCATATGAGTAGTTATCGCACTGAAAAAAAAATCCTCAAAGTTTTGAATATTAATCTAGCGTCTGCAGTGTTTAATTAGCTTCCTTTTACTACCTTTTTCTAGTAAAGGCTTAGGAAAAAAATAATACCGTTGTTATCATTACTACTGTTGTGATTATTTGTATCAATCTGCAATTTTACAGACTTGTTGGTCGTTATTTCAAGTCAACTTAAACGCCTTTGAACGCGATTATCATATTTCCGAGCCTTCAACGATACCCAAACGCATCAGATGATGTGGAGGCGACAAAGGCCGCGTGACGTCAGAACTTCCTCCTCTCTCCTCCCAGGTAGTTGAGTGTGCGTCTGTGCGTAATGTTTCACAGTTTCTATTCACGGCCATCAAAAACGTCAGAGAGTCATTGTCTGTCTGTCAACGCCCGTTATTTTGTTACCTAATAACAAAAACACGGACGGTGAGGCGTAAACTGGTTAATTTAAGCGAGATTTGGGGCGTGGAGTCAGGTTTGTTTGTGGCCTCATGGAGAAACCGGCCAATCAAGCTGCAGATAGAAACAAAAAAAAAACAATAGGTAATGAGTGAACCAATGGGCTCTAATGAGGTTTAAGGTTAAGCACCTCCTGCGTGTATGGGTCCCACAAATTCACTGACATTATGGAGCAATTACACTATCATTTACACTCATTCAATTACAGGGCAGTGCAAGATACTGCACTTTGCAAAAGTATCCATCTAAGTGGAATTTCTAATATTTATATTAGCAATAGATATTTATAATAATATTGAGTTTTTTTTAACATGTTATTTTTTAAATAATCTACCAATCAAAAGTATGAACCCTTGAAAGCTAGATTAAAAAATGAAAAACCAGTGAAAGTGAAAGTGAACACTTCAACAGAAAAGAAAATTAATATATCTGGTGAATAGGAAATGAATCAGAGCCCTCTCCGCTGCTGCCCCCACTCTCTGGAATTCACTCCCCAAACCCATCTGAGACTGTACAGACCCCCACATTTTCAAATCACTCCTAAAAACACACATTTTTAGATTGGCTTTTAACCTGTGAACGGTTCTTTTATTGTCTTTTCATCGGTGTGTTTTTTTTTAATCTTTTACATTGTTGGTTTTATTTCTCAAAATTTTCTGTATTTTTATTTATTTTTTCCTTTGAAAAGCGTCTTTGAGCACCTGGAAAAGCGTGTTATAAATAAAATGTATTATTATTATTATTATTAAAACTAACAGAATATGAAATAATTGATGTTAAGCAGCTTTTAAAGGAAAAATTATACTGACTACAAATTCAACCATGTTTCCAGTAAGTTTGGAAAAACTGGATCACATGACAGCGCACAACAACAGATGCAATCTAAGGACAGTCAATGACAGCAGCATAGCTCGAGGAATGCGTGGCATGTGTCCTCAGACAGGTTCAGGATGTCTCCTCTGCTTTGCCCCTCAGGTAGTGTGTGAAACTCCCAGACGACAACAGCCGATGACGTTTTTGATAATATAAATAATATCACACCATCACATGGTTATCAGATAGTGAATTAAAAAATGTCTAACAGTACCAGTGTCTATCAAGAGCTGAAGTTAAGTATCATAACTGGTGTCTAAAAGTTCAGAGTAAGGCCACTGTTATGAACTTTTTCTCCCACTGACAGTAGAAAACACCTTCCAGGGTACCTTATTTTTTGTGTCATTTTCTAAATACATTAAAACTTACTTATCACCTAACTAATCTTAACTTTAAACGTTCATATTTTTATTTCATTTTATTGTAACTGTGTAAATGTAATTAAATTTGTTGTGACTATGTCTTGTTGCAGCTTAAAAAAACATTCGAACAAGATTTGTATTTATTTAGTTATTATGTAGCATTAATAATAAGCTGTGATTAGACCCTATTGTTTCAGAGTATACGCACAAAGGATTGCCTTATAGGTGAATGATCTTACACATTATTTATTTGATCTTATTTTGTTCATATATTGGATAACAAGAGCCAGAGTTATACTCAAATTTAATGCTATTTTAGTGCATGACCAAGCCTCTTTTTCCCTATAGCAGATGCTGTAGTTTGAGTTATAGTTTAATAATACCTCATAAAAACTATATGTAGCCTTTATAAATGCTATTCCTCAACATTTATGACAGCAGTTAAAAAAAAAAAAAAATTCAGGCAAGATGACAGAGTGAAACTGTTTAAACATTTAAGACCACCAGAGGGCCCTAAAACCTCTTAAATGCATCAAAGCTGCAGGCTTTAGAGAGTAAATGTGGAATTTTGCTTTGCAAAAACTTCATTAACAAGGGCAATTTTGTGGTAGGTATTTTGTAGTTTTAAAATTGCATATTTTCCAGTTGAGTGCATAATAAACCATTCTCCAATAAAAAATAAATAAAAAATATACATACACATTAAAAGCCCTTAAGTTTAGCCATCTATGCTCATTTTTTGTGGTCTAAGGTCGACATTTGTGCTCTTTTTCCAGGACCCAGATTAAAAATATTTTCTGTAATGAATTAAAATATTTTTGACATACTTCACAGAGTTTTATGAACTAGATATCCTTGTGAGAATCCCTCCAAGAGAACTATTGGATAATGACAAATTTTTCACAGGTCTATGTCTGGCAGTCCTAAGATAACACTCATCTATACAAACCTCCTTGAGTCACTCAGTCACAATGATTCCTTGTGTCTCAGACAGGGGGACTAATTTGCAGAAACAGATTTCTTTCATTCCACTGCATCCAAAGCAACGTCAAACACTGACAGCGAGCTGCATTGCGCTTCACCTCACCCGACGCCTCATCTCACCTCATCTCACCTGACAAACCCACAGTATAAAAGCTCTTCACTTCATTTGTAGAAAAGAACTACGTCAAATTCTTTTAAACTCTATTAGTTTATTTCTCATGTGAACAGATAATCATTAACTATTTTTTTTTTTACATTAAACCTTTCATTATTACAGTTGGACTGAATTCCTGGTATTATTTTGGATGTTTATTTTATCAATCTTGTCCTAACGTGTAAACAGATCAGTGTTTTTATACTGTATTGAACAACAAGTTTGCATAATACACCTAAATGCACTTTAATTTGTAGTTTGTGTGTACTGGGGCACATAAAGTGCAGTCTAACGAGTGCAGGACAAATGTTGCCATGGTAACTTCTGGCCTGTGGCCCTTTATTTTACTTGCATTCTTTTGAACTGTACAATTATACACTGCATGAGTTGATATCTATTTTGCAGCCATAAAAATTAAAATTAAAGCTAAACTGTGACTGTATGAGATATCACACACTTTGTACCTACACAATGCCATATACAGTGTGTATCAATATATTACTCTATCATGGAGTTATTAATTATTTACCGCAGATTGATGCAGTGAGAGTAACATGTAAATAATAATGACATCAGGTGCAGCTATAAAATGCTGCATATCCTCATTATCATATCAAGTCTTTGGTGAAAAGAGTCCCCTCTTGGATACACCTGTCTCCTTGCTCTAAGCTCCTTCAGTTGCCTCCTTCCTCCTCAATCCTCGTCTCCTGCATTTAAAAAATGAAAGAAAGTGGCGGATCCTTCATCACTGTAGAGTGGGTGCAATTTCTGGGTCAGTGGATGCATAAATGAATGTCATGACAAGCACTTTTGGCAACAAGTTTGGTTGTTTTTTTGAGATTTTCTCTCATCTTGTTATCTTGAGTTTGCAACACCAGTTTTCCTGTGAACTATAAATAATCATTCAGTTTTTCTTCAGAGCTCAACTTATTTTTTTATCTCTTTATCTTGGGACAACACAGATGGTATTCCAGTAATGATTTTGTTTTTGTTGTATTTTCTACTACGATAGCAGAGCTTGTTTTTTTGTGATAACTGGACAGTTTCCTTTGCAATCTAAAACATCAGACTGGCCGGTCTGATAGCTGAGTTATGATGAACCATGTGTGCTGCTGTTGCCCACACTAATGGGAAAACCTAATCTTATTTCTATGTTTGGTTTGTGCTTTTGAAACTTTTGGAATATGTTTTATGATTATCTGACATTAAATTGTTGCTGCAGGGAACCTGAGAAACTAAGATGTGTAGATGTCTGCACAGGACTTGTGTACTCCTGGTTAAACGATAAAGAAATTAATTTCATGCAACAGACATACACAAACAGAGCATTCATTGGTGATTTGCAGCTTTGTAAAATGAAGCTGCAGCAAGTATCTTTCAATTTGTGTCGATTTTGATGCCCTCTGTAGGTGGAAATGACTGTAAAGCAGTTACAAGTAATGTATGGAGACCTGTCCGTGTGTTATTTTGTGTGCTATGTGGTGAACTGTCCTGAGATATTATGTTTCATAGCTGTTGGTACCTGTCTTAGGACTGTTAGTACCTCCCTTAGGACTACAGATGAAATTTGGCTATTATGCTAATTCTGGCATATCTACATTGAGCCATACAGCTAAAATGTCAGTTAATGTGCATCACCCAGATTGAATGTGCTGGCCTGGTACTGTACATGCCAGGTTTTTTAACCAATAAAATCTCATTTTACTTTTCCTAACTGTCAGATTATTGTGTGTAATGCTTTTACAAATGCTATGAAAGTCATACTGCAAGTTGTCTAGCCTGGCATATGTGGTGGAGTCAAACTTTTTGGTGGCCAAACAGGTACAGAGGGATACCTACAGCAGAGCTGGCCCAAGGCATAAGCGAAAAAAGCGCCGGCTTTGGGCCCTGAGGCCAACAGGGGGCCTCCAAGAGCAATCAAAAACAATAATTTTAAAATATTTTTGCATGTTATGGAATGAATTGCCACTTGAGATTAAAACTTCCCCCACTCTTTCTACTTTCAAATCGCATCTTAAAACTCATTTTTATTCCTGGGCTTTTAGCTCAGCATGACAGTTGTGTGATCTCTGTCCTTTTGTGTCTTTTTAAGGTCCTTTTTATCACTTTTATTTCTTTTATGCTTTTGTGGTTTAATTTCATTTCATTTTAAATGTTTTTTTTACCTGCTTTTATTTGTTTCATCGTGATTATCACGATCCTTAATCACGATCATATAATCGCCCAATCCTACTAGAGAGGCAACAATATTTTTTGTAATCTGTTGCACGACCAGATAAAAGTCCCTACAGGAGCTTTAATGACACAACTGTGTAAAAGACAAAACAATGGACAAACTAAAAGAATAGTAAACAGAATAACAAAATTCCTGGATTGTATGTATTGTGATCAAAAGACTTCATTGGTTTTTCAATCTTAGATGAGCTAAACGTGATAAAATCTTAATTCACTTGCACTTCTGTGAACAGGCGCAGACACGGCGCGCTGCATTGCTACGCCTGCAAATGACCCACCCGTGTTGCCGTAGTCATGCAAGATTGTGGCACTCCTCCTCAATGAACGTTGGAAAGATGGCGACGGCATACGCACAAGCGAGAGTCAACAGAGCCGGCGGATAGAAAGTGCTCCAGAGAGACACCAATCTGCTGTTTTTTGCAGAGATTTGACGGTGCAAAGTGTGTCTAACGCCTCTTAGACATGCTTCAGCCCATGCACGGCTAAAAACAAGGAACCACTGCTTTGCTATGGAGCCTCCGGATCGCAACAAGCCCCGCAGCAGGTATGTGGATTTGTTAAACAGACACTACACCATCAGAACCACCTCGCACTTGCCAAATAGGGAGCTGAACGTGACACTGCAGTCGGGTCTATGGCAGCGCATGCGCCCTGTAGAGAATCCGACTTCCTGTCAAATAGTGGTGCGCGTGCAGTTTGTGCATTTGCAACAGTGAAGTTGCAAACTTTTTCGAGCTGCATTTTCAAGCGGATTTAACTGCGGATACTTTATTCTTGTTTTTATTTTTGTTGCTAGAGAAAAAGGCAAAATGCTCGCCCGATGATAAGGTAACGTGACGATTTATTTCACCCGCAACAAACCAGGGAACAAGCTAGCTAACATCAACTGTTAGCTGTTGATTGTCACTTTATTGTTCAGCCGAGAGTTCGCAAACTAGAATAAACCGAGCTGAAACTACACGGGTTTTGCAATGAGGGCTCGTAAGGTGAGCTTGATATTATGCCGCTGGAGTTTGGAGGTTGCCAGAGCATGCATTTCATCAGAACTTGGCAGGCTTTAGCTAGCATGTTGCTCCACTGTTGTTGTTAATCCTCCGGTGGGTCTTGGCGCTCCTGTTGTTGTCTCGGGCTGCACTGCTGAATCATTGTACAGGCACGTTTACCATGAACTCTCTGTGCATTTTTAGGGTTATTTCTCATACTGTTGCACGTAAGGGTCTGTAGATTCGTTAGAAAGATGATTTTGCAGCAACAAATGTGTACTGCGATCACAGCAGCCGTCTCTACTCAGTGTTAGAAATGATGAATCCACAGAACCAGCACCCACACAACAATAACACTTCAGCTCATATCACATACTTAGATTTTCCTTTACAACGGGTCGATACTGCTTATTGTATTTTAGTGATACAATATTCCTTTAAAGGATCTGCAGTAATCCTCTATACAAAAATTTAAGTCAGTACTGCAAGACTGCACAATAAATCACTTATTTAATGATTGCAGTAAATTGGAGATGAACATTCCTGCATGCATTCACTGTTTTCTAACTGATTTTGTGTATTTTTACTGTGTCGTGGATGCTTTTGCACCATTTTGATGATTTGGGATGCATAAGTGTTGAAAAAACAGACTTTGGATGCAAAAAACCAACTCCTTTCAGTTTGCTTATACACCACATTTCTTTTGCATACCATAATACTGAACAATATCCTTGCACATTGCTATTTTCCCTGCAGAATAAGGGTGTAGCATCACATTTGCTTGTAAGCGTGGGAATAATGAAGATCTAAGTTTTGTTGTGAAGAATGAAAATTGACTTGAAGTCACAAGTTGTAGCAGATTAGATTTTTATTTTACCTACATGTAGCCTTTCTATTTTAAAAACTTTACTGTTTTTTCTTATATTGCAAAATTGCCAGAAACTTATTTTGTCATAGTCATTTTTTTTAATGTTAAATACTGCAGATGTTGAATACTGTTCAAGTTATTCAAGCTAGTGTCACTATGTTTGAATGACAGAACAATTTTTAATGCAAATCTCAGACTTGGTAGAAATTGTAAACACACATGATTTTATTATGTATGTTTAATTAACCACTGTATTGCCTGAATCTATAAATGGTTTTGTTCCTATAAAGAAAAAAAGTGGCTTTGTTTATATCCACGTAGGAGTGGATGGCCCCTTACCATGAAGGCCACCATGGTATCTTGCATCTTTGCTTTAGTTTCTATAGTAGCACAAAACAGACAAACTACAACATACCTGTTTTTGCCGCACAAGATGCACTGGCAGGATGATGAAGAGGAAGAGTGGTCATTGTGTGTAGAAGAACTTTACAGATAGAAGATTTTGATGGCAGAAACTTGTTGAGTTGAGGATCACATGAGCTTCTTTTCCCTTTGAGACTACATTCACTTTCATTGCGAAGGGTGAGCAAGGGAGCGTTTCAATCAAGAATCTGATTGTACCTTCAAATTAAATGCACAGATTTCTTTTAAGGCAGTAGGATAAAAAGATGAGAAATATAAATGATGATAACTACAAACATCATAACAACAAGGATATCTTTCAGTTTGTGGTTCTTTTTGTTACTGAAATCAGATTTTCTCTCCTAAATTCTTACCAAAAACTATCCAGATTTCTCTTGCTAGCTATTATTGAGTTATGCGACACAACAGATTTGTATCTACTCTTATAATCGGTGCACGCCAAATTATATGCCACTAACCAATATCTATCAGCAGGTTATTGGCCAACAGATTAGTTCTCAGACAGTCCATCTGTGTAGCCCTATTGTTTGTGACATTTCCAATATTTACACTTTGACAAATATAGGACAACATTTTACATCATAACATTGTTATTGGCTAAAATCTTACTTGCACTAGTGTCTTTTAAATGAGTGTTTGGTTTCAGTTGAGCTGTTAATGTCTCATGTAAGTGCACTTTATGAGCCTATTATTCTCAGAAATTATATGGAAGACTCTGTCCAACATACCAGGAACTACTTTTACTGTGCAGCTTCCCAGTAATCCAAAGTGAAAGTCCCCTCCAGGCAACAAGAACTGACATTGTCTTCTAATTCTACTCAGATAAACTCCATATCTAGTAGTAGCAGATACTGAGATGCTTACTTATATCTCGTAGTTTTCTGGTAATTCAATAGCAAAGTCACCCCCACCCAAAAAAAGTAGAACGATCCCTTTAATCAGCTGTAATGTCAAAGATCAATAATTTCTGAAGTAAACAGTTAAACAGCCGGCCTCAGGAGTACTTGCTTTACCGCTTGCATAAACTCTCTTCAGCATTTTTACGTTGAATGTTTTGAGAAGTCTGAGATCTGACCTTTTTATGATTCATCAAACTTCACTTGTTTGTTTACATTTCAAGGTTATGCATGGAAATGCATACAAAGAGACATTCATAGAAATGTTGTCCTCATTTGCACACGATTCCTAATCTGAATGTTTAAGTGTTTGCCCCTGACTGCCGACAGACAGACCCTCAGGAATCTGCTGTTATGTCTTTCTTCTCCCCTCCCATCCATCCTGTTAGCATACAGTCGTGTGTCTGCAGAGCAACTATCCCTGAGGGCATTTATCACTCTGGATCATCTTTGTCATCGGCTATAATCCTGGTTTTGAGCAAACTGCTTGTTTCTTTGTCGGTAATGATCGAGTACCAGCCGGTTGTTATTCCCCTACACCCTTGAGGCCACTCAGTCCGAGCCGGACACACAAACAGCTCGAGCGATTGTGCAACACCCGACTTGTTACAGTAACTGCTGTTTGGTGTTGTTGCACAGAGAAACATACTGAGGCATTAACCTTGCGGTTCCTGGAAGCATGTCAGTGTCTTTGGCTTTATTTCAATGGATATGTTTTATGGTTTTTAGTTTTCAGTTTCATTTTGATGCTCAGTTTGCATGCAGATTTTGGGTTAAGAGTTATGCATGCACCGGAGCATAATTTTCCAAGAGCACAACATAGCCCTCTGCCTTCCAAGTATGCATTTTAATGAACACTAACTATGATTTACCCGATATGTTGTTTTCAATTATTCACTGGTGGGATTTGAAACAACATCCAGAACCTGACAAGTGGTTTTAAGGCAGAAGCTGCATATTGTTGTGTTGGCTGTATTTCCCTGAAACTGAATTCAAATCTGAGAGAAGAAGACAGTTCATGGAGCATGCAAAAATAGCAAGTTCCCTGTGAAAAAAGCTCTCCCCTCTTGGAAAACATAGAAAACGTGTGTTCTGCTATCTTATCTAAAGTGTGCAGGTAGACTTCAGTTCATTAAAAAGTGATTATTTGTAGTGTGGCTTAACTTTGGTCTCATTTAAAGGAATGACAGTAGTTCAGAATATAAAAATCATTATCTCTACATAACTCAGTCACGTAAAAGTAGTCTCAAACACTAGTGTTGCACAGCATAACAAAATGTTGGTTGTTTTTCAAAACCTACTATGTCAAACAGTTTAGTACTAGAACATGCCTCTGATGTAAAGCCTTGCATATACTATGTTGTTGACTTTGCACTGTAGCCTACGCCTTAGTGAGCACTACGTACACATGCATACTTTGCAATAGAGTGTCTGCATTGTTCCACAGTACTCCCCCTTATGCTAGCTAGCAGTGTGATTTCTTTGCTTGTCATATTGGCAGTTTCTGGTCCCGCTGCATTCTGGTGCAAACATTGTGAAGCTGATAGATGTGGAACAGCAGTCGATTATACTGCAATTATTACTCAAAGAAGAAAACAGAGGAGATGCCAGGGCAGATAGAGTGTACGGCAACCCCTAAAGAAGCATAGTTTGCTGTTCAGTGGACTAATCACAGGGCTTGCAGTCTGCATGGTTTTGAGATGTAGTTACTGTAGTTACCGTACTGAGGCTTCTGCGTTGATACAGTACTGTGTGAACTTGACCCAAATTTGTTGCAGAAGCATAAACCAACAGCAAATATCCTGACCAGCATGATGAAATACTGACTTGCATCTTTACAAAGTGGCTGTATCAGCAAGGAAATCACGTCAGACACTCAATGGTCAGGAAGACATGCGCCTGTTAGTCATTCTCTTTTATACAGCCTAAGCCTCTGATTCCTGTGAAAGAGGGAAAAGCAATTCCTCTGCCTCAACACGTCCACTAGTGATGACAACAGTGAGTCATCTTGACTGAATAACTCCACACTTTGTTCTGGTGAACAGAACCGGCTACTGGAGTCACTTTTGGGACTGATTCACCCATTAAACGTTGCCAAGCACTTCAGTAATAGATACCTTGACCTAGGTATGGTGAGATTAGCATATGAGCTAGCATGCTAGAAGAAAACCTGATTAAAACATCACATTTAAGATTGAATTGTGCAGGGGTCTCCTATATGCACAACTTTTAGACCACTAAATAGCACTGGGCTGCTGGCTAACATTACTTGCCACTGCTATGGTGGCTTTGTAGAGTCATAAAACATAGCCAGTAAACAAGACGCATTTTTATGTAAATTCTTGAAGATAATAGTGAATCTTAGTGAACTTAATACACCAGGATAAACACAAAAAATAAAGGTTTAGGAAGCGTTGGTAGAGTCTCGATTTGTCAATAAGCTATGAAATCCTAGTTTGACCAATCCTCGTCTAATCTGTTCAGTATTGTATCAAAAGAGTGATGTTTCAGTTTCAAATGTCATTTCAGAATTGAGTATCGTGATACTAAACTTGGTATTGGTATTGGGGACAAAACTATGAGGCGCTCAAGTTTGGGAGCAGAAGAAGTCACTGCACACCCGTATCCCGTACATCTGGAAAACTGTTGATGAAAGGCATGATAAGTACAACTTCACCAGGAGTGAATATACAGACCCGAATAACAAACAGATCCTTTTTCATCACAAGTGTGCATATTTGTGCAGAAAATATGAGCTGACTGGAAAATGAAAATGGCCCTGAGAAAGAGAAGTTGAGTGATTACTCTGCAATTGAGGGTCATCACTGTCGTCGCACATACAGAGGTCCTTTGTCAATAAGGCCTCGTCCTTTAATTCAGTGTAAAGACATTGTGGCTCGAAGGCATTCCGGAGATTTCAGGATGTGGTGTCGTAGGCACAGTAGATAGCAGCCTGTAGTCCCAGACACGCTCATGGATAGAACTCATTAATGCCTGCATTTGTCAGGAGCGCAGGCTGTGCAATACAGATGGACCATCCGGTACCATTTCCTGTCTGCATCCTGTCTCTGCCCACACCTGCTTCAGAGAGAGCAGTGCTACTTTCACATTCTGCCACTCTCATCTGTCAGGAACTCTATCAAAAGGATCTTTGTCACATTTAACTGAAGCAATTGTTTTTGTGGTTGCAGGACTAAGATCATGCAAGACAAGAAATGATAAGAGAGTTGAGTTTTGCAGAAAATCGTCACTGATGATTAAATGGAAATTAACATGCAAGTTGAAACCGACCAAGGTTTGGCTTCCACTCCAGATTGAATTTCAGAGGTGGAGCAGTCTGCTGCCTGCACTGTGTTTATGAAGCAAGTCACATAAGGTGAAAAACATGTAATTACACCATTTACCTCATGCTGCAGCCAGCAGTCTGTAAGCTCTGTTTACAATTTGATGCATTCAGATCATGCGAATGGCTGTGGTTTATGAGCTTCTTGGAGTACAGTTGTTGTTTTTTTCTTTTGGCTAGATGTTCAAGTACAGTTTGAGGCCAAACATGAAGCACAGCAGTGTTTTAGTCTTCCTGATAGCAAAAAAAAGGTGGCAGAAAGAAACTTCTCTGTTGTGCAGTTCCAGTTTGCATTGCAGAGTTGTATGTAGGAGAGGTTGGGAGGTCCACTCTTGGCACAGACACACTGTTCCAGAGAAGGGTGGGGTCAAGTATGTTGTGTTCATTGTTTCTGGATTCTGTCAGGCTGTGGAGCAAATTCTGATCGCTGCATCAGCTCTGCGTGTTCACCGGGGAATGACAGCATGTCGGAGATGCTTACTTTTGCATGCAGGAGCCTCACTAACATTCAGATCTGGGTTCATGTGCAGAAATAGATTTCATATTCTAATTGTTTTATCGGTCCGGGCCTGAAATTAGCAGTCTGCAGATGCATCCTTTTATTTTTATAGAGGGGGGGAATCAAAATCTGGATTTGGCCTACTGAGCTTTAGTTGTGCCAGCATGACCAATTTAGGGGAAAGTGTGCTCTTGCAAAACCTTTCTCCTCCTTTTCCTCTCTCTAAAAAAATCCCCTTTAGTTCAGGCATTGTGAGCAAGTGTGCTCACCAACCAGCTGTGTGCTATTCAGCTGTGGGCCTCACAGGCCACGTGTCACAACTATACAATAGCGTGCCCCTTCCTGGTACAATGGTGTGGATGGTTGGTGTCAAAGGTCAGGCCCCCCTGACTCTGGCAGCCCTTGGTATCACTGCTTCAGTCACTATACAGAAAAGACTCTCGATTTTGTGCTGTTTATTATGCACTCAGTGTTTCTGCCTAGGGGCTTTAGCATTCCACTGGCCTTTATTGGAGGCCCAATGAGCCATCAGATGAGCCATTGAGACCAGCCAGACACCATCTGCAGTGATAATTCACCAGTGGCAGCCAGGCAGGGACAGCTTGAGGACCATAGTGCGGCTACGGTTAACTGCAGGGCATGCAGGCCAGTGTTGCTCTCCGTGCAGCGTGCACATAGGTTTAAAGAAAAGACAAAGAATCCAAAAAGGGAGTTCGTGCAGTCGTCGCTGCAGCACAAGCCGTGCTTCAAGTCTGTCATGGCAACCAAACAAACAACCAGCAGTGATGGCGTCATTGGTTCCGCTGTCATTCCTTAGCGATTAAGTAATGCATTCTGTGCGGAGAAGTGTCTTTTTTAAAACTTGGTCTCCTTCCCTCACCCTTGCATGTACTATTTCTGTCCTCAGACACCTAACACCCCTGCCGGTTTTGGAATGTTTACAAATGTGCAAAGAATTTGATCGTCCATGTGACTGACGCGGTGGGGGGATCCTGCGCTCCTCGTGCACTAAGACAAATACCTGTCTCAGTTTTTGCATTGCAAACGCACAGAGATTTGTGTTCTGTTGCTGCACTAAAAGCCTTATTGTAACTTGCAAGTTTGTACTCTGTGTCTTCTCGTGCTTGCATACTGAAAAGATCACTGTCGTGCTCTGCTCCTGCAGAACAAGTCCCCTCACAATTTCCCAGAGTGTTCTCATAAAAGGCTCCAGTGTTCTTCCATGCAAGAGTTATTCTGTAATTTCATGTCTGTTGTGGTTAGGATGACTCTTTTACTGACGTTATTCTTGCAAAGTCTTGAATGCATCCTGAATCTTTTGCATTGAAAGTTGCAGGATTTGCAGCAGGTGTCTGTTTGCTGCACATGGAGTCCACAGCTGCTCCCAGGGGACTCTGTGTGCCTGTGTGCGTGCGTGTGTGTATGGAAACAGACTCTGCAGAGGGGCAGATGGGTAATACAAGTCTGGACTCTCACTCTGTGCAGTTCCTTGCAAAGCTTAAGCAAGTGATTTCCTGATTATCCCCCCCCTTCCCTGGACACTCACACGCGTTCTCTCTGCAAGTGTGCGCGCCCCTTTCAACTTTTGTCTGCGCAGGAGCTAACGGGCGCGTGTTGGGGAATGTCTTTCATTGAGATGATGGATTGGGGGGACACATGGCGACCAGCACACACACCGCCCGTTTCATGCCCCCCCTTCTTCTTCCTCTTTTTGTTTTTCTTGGCGGGTCAGACCTTCCAACCTCTCACTCTTAATCCTATTAAAAACCCCTCAGAAAGGCATTAGGGAATAAAGCTCTGACATTGTAATCTGGGAAGGCGTGCTGCTCGCACTCTTCACTTTTTTATTTTCCCTTTTTCCCCAGATGACGCTGTTTCAAGTGATTATAATGTTTGTTTTCTGCACAAACAGATACATCCTGCTCTCCTTTGATTATCTTAATTCACAGTGAGTTCTGTGATTTTAGTAAATGTTAACTCAGAGTTCACAAAGATTGCATGAAAAGTAACATACTGTTGTGCATTTTCGCTCTGGTTGCGTATCGTCCTAAACGCACTTTGGGTTGTGAATCACGCTTTTTAATCAAATCCTGACTTTTACAGATTTTGGTCGATGACTTAGCAGACAAAGTCAATGAGGGTTACTATTTCCCCCTCTCTGGTTAAGCCATTATGTTTACCTAGACTGAAAGAGGGTGCCAGCAGAGAGCCCACAGCTTATTATCCTGTGTCTGGAGGGCTGTGGTCATGCACAGAGCTTTGCTGCCGTACATTCGGGAGGGAGGCAGCCAGTCAGGCTCCAAAGGACAGACAACTCGTCAGTCTGCTGTTGGTAGAAGCAGACATGTAGTCTAGTTGCAGTTTAGCGACTCGTTTGCCGTGGCATTAGAGGAGATTTGCTGCACACTCTGTTATGGGTACAAACAACCCAGCACTGTTTGACCTTCTGCACACATTTCTTTGGTGTCCTTGTGGTATAACTGACATAGTTTCATGATGCCAAAGCAGTGCCTTGCTTACTGTTAACATCGCTTTCTGGTAACTGTACTGATTGTAAAGATGCTAATCCGGCCCAGTGGTCCTCAAAAGTATCATTACCAGAATTTTATAAAGGGATGTGAAACAGCAGTGTTCAACAACAACATTAGTAACACTTCAAACACACATAATACTTCATGAGGCGTGATGTCTTCATGCAGTTGTGGTCTAATTGCTCGCAGAAAGAGAGCACGAAGCCGGAGCACCGTGGGCAGAGTTTGAACCGAACTGCTCGTTCCTGATACTGACAGTATTTACAGGCTCTGTCGACGCTTTGTTCTCTACTCTGTTTTCTGAAGGTTCAGCTGTTTTGTTTCTTTATTTCCACCGACAGTCAGTTTCCGTGTTTTTTTTTTTTGTCTTGTCAGTCAAAACTGAAACTTCTTGCACAAAGATAAAAATGTGGCAGATAAACATAAACTTGATCATGAAAGTGTTTGTTGCAGAAATTAACAGTTGCATTGAATTCACTGCTCTGAACTCATATTTAGGGATGAGTATAACTGTGATTTTATTAATATCAGCATTGACTCTGATGCTGATTACTGATAGTCTTATCAGTGCTTCTCTCTGCATTAAGTTAACTTAAAGATTAAACACCAATTGCATGAAAGACAGATTTAAGATATAATGATATGACTAAAGACTTTTTTTAATTAATACACTTAAAATTAGGGCAGATACGAATTCTCGATTACGTTGATTACAAATAATGATTGAGGAATTTTCGATTACTCGTTTATAAGCTCAAAATGTTGATTTTTCAAGGTGACACAAAGCACTTACTTCACCATGGTAGGAGGAGGAATAAGCGTGGTTTTGGTTTTGTGGAGCGGAAAAATGAATAATGACAGGGGCTTTCCTTCTGCAGAGCTCCAGTAGCTCATTAGCACTTCGCCTCTGAGTCGTGGGCGGAGACAGCACTCCTCTTCACGCTCTTCTCGTCACGCTCCTCTTCACGCTAGCTTACAGCCTAACATTGCCGATGTAGTAGAAGTAGCAGGTAACATAGGAGCTATTGAACTCTCAGATTCTAATGACTTTAGGGACATGATGAAAGCTAATATCATAATTAGCTTTCTTATGAGCATTACAATCCGCTAACGCACACACTTGTTCCGCAATCGTCCTCTGTGTTTCTCCTCTATATGCAGAGCGTGGCCTGCATAGTGGGACTGTGGGGGCGGAGCCTGGAATTGTGATGTAGGAAATCTCACTCTATGTGAGTCTGCTGTTTGGGTCCGATTTCTCGAGTAATCGATAGAATATTTGGTGGAATATTCGATTACTAAAAAGAGTCGATAGCTGCAGCCCCAACTGAAATAAATGCATTTTCAGTAATATCCTTAAACAATGTTAATAACTTAGTGAATTTGATTATATCGAACAAACTGCTAATGTTTTGATTCTTTAATCATCAGTCAGTGTGAGCAATAATGCGCCCTGTGATTTGTCTTGCAGCATGTCGTCCCAAAAAGAAGGAGGTTGCATGCATGCACTTGCAGACCCAAAATGAGAGAAGGGCTGCTGTCTTAAAAAAGAAAGATTCTCTGCAACTACCACAGTCTTATTAGTTATATTTAAATCAGTTAATAGTGAGGATGCTCGTTACACTACCTTATATTTAGGTATGCTATAAATGTAGAGATGCTATTCTGCAAACATTGACGTCTCCTCTCAGCTCAGCACACTCACTTAAGGAGCTGGACTGACATGTTTCACGAGGGCGTTTTTCTCACGCTCGTCTTGATTTTAAAGAAGAGAGGATAGAGCTTCTCTTCTTCTGTACCGGTTAAACTCTGCTGTAACTTGTTGACAAAATAGCTTCTGCAATTCTCCAAAGCCCCCCCTAGAGAGATGCCTGATTATTCCCATACTGAGGCTTTTTTTTTTCTCTGTTTTTAAACGTTGACAGGCAGGCCAAGCCAGTGGAAGATGCATCCCAACAGAACTCTGTGGCGGATGAATCCTGGGACTCTCCCAGTGAGGAAGACGAGGCTCTGTATGGCACATCTCCCCCGTGTACCCCCCGTCAGATGAAACGCATGTCTGGCAAACATCAGAGGAACAGCCAGGCGAGGAGTACTGGAAGGTCTCCTAACAAGGGTAAATGAATTTGAGATAAACTTCTGTGTAAAGAATAAATTTGACTATTTTACTGACGAGGCGGGTTTGTTTTCTGGGTTCATTTCAGCGGACGTGAACCCATCTGTGATAAGAGAGAGTCCCAGACCAGCAGAGACCCCTGAGGAGCACAGCTACAAGCAGGGCAAGAAACAGAGGGCCACGCTGCGCTCCACAGAAAGAGACCACAAGAAGACCTTCGAAGGCTCCTTCATGCTGGACCCGCTCTCAAAGTCTGGTCCTTTCAGCGCCCTCAGCATGGATCCAAGGAAGCACTACCTGAGCTTAGGCTGCAGCAGTGGCAAACAGCCCGTGTCTATGCCCTTTCTAGTCCGGACTCACCGCCAGACGTCCAGGACAGATTGCCCTGCTGACCGCCTCAAGTTCTTTGAAACTCTCCGGCTGCTGCTAAAGCTCACGTCTATGTCCTCCAAGAGGAAGGAGAAGGAGCAGCGAGGCCTGGAGAACATGGCCTTTATGGGCCACAATAATGAGGTCATTTGGCTGGAGCTGCAGGCGTGGCACGCACGACGCTCCACCGGAGACCAGGACCTTTTTCTTTTCACTGCCCGCCAGGCCATCCCTGACATCATCAACGAGGTGCTGCACTTTAAGGTCAACTATGCCAGCCTGAGAGGGGCCCAGTGTGTAGGGTCGCAAATATTTGAGGGGGACTATCAGAGCGCTTCAGATCTTGTCAGCGGAGAGGAGAGGGGGCCTGCTGTAGCGGAAACCAACCACTGTGGAGTAGATCCGTGGGGATTTAGCGCCTTCTCTTCATCAGGGATGAATGTAGCTGAGCCCCTGGGCTCCAGCGCTGACTGCAGGGAGCACCTCCAGCGCCAGCGGCTGGCGTTTGAGCAGGTGAAGCGTGTTATGGAGTTACTGGAGTCTGTGGAAGCCTTGTACCCCTCTTTGCAGGCCCTGCAGAAGGACTACGAAAAGTACGCAGCACGAGACTTTCAAGGCAGGCTGCAGGCGCTCTGTCTGTGGCTCAATATCACCCAGGACCTCAATCAGAAGCTGCGCGTCATGGCCACTGTGCTCGGCCTCCATGATCTTTCCCGCATAGGGTGGCCCATCTTTGAAATCCCGTCACCTCGCTGTTCCCGTGGAAATGAAGAAGAGGAGAACGAGGAGGATGAGGAGAATGACTCAACAGCCACTTTTACGGCTGAAAGCGACACAGAGGACAGGGACGTCGAGGTGGAAGAGGAGGAGGGGGGAGCGTTAGGACACATAACAGACGGAGAGTTGTCTCCATCCCTGACTCCTAAATTTGCTCGGTTGCTGTCAGAAGACGAGTTTCTCCCCGCCGCCTCTGCAGGAAGTGTAGAAATGGCAGCTGGGGGAGGAGTTTTCTGCCCCACAGCCATCTACAGACCGTTTGTGGATAAAGCTCTGAAACAGATGGGACTGCGTAAACTGATCCTCAGACTGCACAAACTGATGGACCGCTCCCTTCAGAGGTCCAGAGCAGCACTGCTGCGCAACACACCTGCACTGGAGGTGAGCCTGGTGTTTCTTTAGCTGCACACAGAGTGGTTCACTGAGTGCACCGTCAATACGGAGTATTATTATTACTGATAAATCTGGTGTAATAACAGCATTTTTGCCCCATATAAATACATCGGGGTCGTCCAATTCAGGAGTTTTGTTGAAACATAAACACAAAATGGATAAATCAATGGATTCTTACCACGGATGCAGGACATAGGCTTTTAATAACAGCCTGTGTCTAATTGCCAACGCCAAAAAGGTACGACGGAGTATTAGGGCCACATTAAGAAAAATTTAAGACTTTGGCGTTTCAGCATCACATTATCTTAAGAATCAGGACATGTGCAAGAAATGCATCTTTTCCGCAGAAAGAACGAGGCGGGCTTGTAGGGAATCGCTGTTTTTGAGAAGAAATGGCTGGAAATGGCTGTGCAGAGGCGAAATCCCTCAATGCAGCCGTTTATAGCAATACCGATAACTGGGATTCAGTAAGCAAAGTTGCCTCAAACTCTTGACTCTCCAATTCTCATTTTGATCACTTTGGTTAATATACCAAAAGCAAAGATAGGTTGTGACTAGTGCTGAACAAAATAAAGGTCTGAATACTGTTTTATTACTTTAGTATGAGTCAAAGTTGCTCAGTGAGATTACTACTTGACCTAAGGTAAATGACGTGAGCTCAGTCTGTTGAGCCGACAGTCTTTTCTGTCACAAAGGTAACTCTCTTCTTACCCGACGATCACCATGGTGACGTACTCTGAACTCATAACCTGTTCTGTCAGAGCTTAAAATGCCCTCTTATTAATTAATGCCTGACAATATCCTCTGTGGTCTATAAAGATCATCAGCTGATCGCGTTGAAGGGATGACGTTTTTGATTAAACAGAACCACAATCACTTTCTGTGCCTTCAGACAAATCAAATGTCATTTAATTCTTGTAGTCATGACTATTTAACACCCCCGACCCCACCTCTGTCTCCTTACTCAAGTTTAATTTCACGTTTTGATGAAAAGGAGGTATCTACGGTGAAAGCAGTTTCTCCTGAAAACTTTCTTTTCAGGGCCGACTTTTCCAGTTTCACTTTGAAATATTTTACATTTTTTTGTACGTCCCTCTGACTGAAACAGACAGCTGTAGATAATTTCTTATTGTGTGGGAGAAGCATCAGATGGTGTTCCTGTTCCCACGTGAGCCAGCGCAGAAAGCCTGACTTTACAAGGAGAGTTCTTAACCAGATTTGTGATATCGACTTTTTTCAGCCCGAGTTTGTTGAGCTTGCTTTCTGCTAGACTATGTTAATTTAAAATATTATGTACAGGAACATTGACGGAAATTGTGCTTCCCTAGTTTTCACACTTGTCTCCAGCTGTCTGACTAATAAAGGCAAAAATTCTCTTAATTATAGGCATTGTGAAGAAGTGCAGAGAAAGCTAGTAAAAGAAAAACAAGTTCTGTCAGAGTAAGAGTTTATTTTCCATTGATTATAAACTAACCCAGGTTTCATAATTTGTGAGCTCTGATCATTTTCGGAGCTCTTTTTGGGGGTTTAACTCAGCCTGCAAACGCACAAGGAACTGGAGCACCTCTTGAATTATTCAATATACGTCTGTATGTCCAGAGGCTGTGCACAAGAGCCAAGAAGCTGAACAACAGTCTTTATGAGAAAGTGTCCAGCTGGTGATGAAATCTACAAATATCCTGCTTTAACACCATCCTCGTCCTCTACCTGCAGTTTGCAGATTTCCCCGACCCCATGCTCTACAGTGATTACCTTCCAGAGCTGTCCCGCCACCTGTCCTGCAGCGGTCCGGCTCATCCAGAGCTCGGGGCGGATATGGTTTCCTGGGAGGATATGCTGGACATGGACCTCCCGTCCTTCCAGCCGGCGTTCCTCGTGCTGTGCAGAGTCCTCCTCAACGTCATCCATGAATGCCTTAAACTGCGACTTGAACAGAGGCCGGCCGGAGAGCCTTCACTGCTCAGCATCAAACAGGCAAGCAGATACAAAACCGCTCTTTAAATCCAGCATCTGTTCCTGCTTTCTAACCCTCTTGTTTCTGTGTTGTTTGCCCTCTGTAGTTGGTGCGTGAGTGTAAGGAGGTTCTCAAAGGCGGTCTCCTGATGAAGCAGTATTATCAGTTCATGCTGCGTGGTGTGGTCACCGATGCTCAGGGCTTACAGACGAATGCCAATATTGACGAGTTTGAAGAGGACCTGCACAAGATGCTGGTGGTATGTAGAGTTGAAAAAAAGCACAATTAACTTGTAAATGTATGCACTGTGAATAAGAAGGTTTTAAATACCGCCTGTGTTGTCAGGTTTACTTTGACTACATGCACAGTTGGATCCAGATGTTGCAACAGCTGCCTCAGGCCTCTCACAGCTTAAAGAACCTGTTAGAGGAGGAGTGGAACTTCACCAAAGTCATCACTCCTTACATCCGCGGAGGAGAAGCGCAGTCTGGAAAGCTTTTCTGGTCAGTCACAAACCTGCAAACTGAACTTCACTTTAAAGTTAAAAGCTCAAACAAAGAGAAAGTGGGGTGGTTGTAGGGCTGGGCGATAAACCGAAAATTTACAGATACCAAAATTTATGATAATAACCGTCGCATTTTGCCCATATTGATATATTCAGTGTCAAAATAAATAAATAAAAGTTGGTTTTGGATGTGTGTAGGTAGGCTATTGTCTCATGTCCCTTTAAGACGCTGTCCTACATCAGAGGACAGACAGGTGAGGAGATGGAGGACGGTTCAAAAGTCGTAGCTGCTGGAGCGGCGGCTGAAGTTAATGTGGGAGGGGGTGAGCAGCTTGTGGAGTAGCTATCGTCCATTTATCATTATTGAGTTGAACTGCTCAATATATCGTGATATTGATTTGAAGCCATATCGCCCAGCCCTAAGTGGTTGTTAGGATGGCCCCTGTTTGGAAGAGCTGGCTGATGTAACACAGTGGAAACAGTCAGGTGCAAACAGTCCTCCGCTTCAGTTTGTTTAGTATGTTTCCGCTTGTCACACAACCCCTTTCATAGATGCATTCGCACACAAAGCCGCTGTAGGATCCCTCCTCACATTTCCTGATCAATTTAAGACAGAGACAAAAATAAAAACAAAGAAAAGAGCCAGGCCATCTGCACAGTTTGACAGCCGTGTTGGTGCAGTTTAGACGTGGGAAGTAAAATAACCAAGTGAAAATTTATTGTTGCTGTTCCTAAATACAGTTTTCAAGTATCTGGACTTTAATATTTGAAAAACTTAGGCACTTTCCACCTCTAAGATTTTAACATCACAATTTCTTCTCTCTGCAGTGACATTGCTGGGATGCTGCTCAAATCTACCGGAGAGTTCCTCGACGCTGGCCTCCAGAAAAGCGGTAATGAATTCTGGGAAAGTGCAGATGACAGCACGGCCTCAGATGAGATTAGGTGAGACGAGGACTTTATATGTCTTCCAGACTCTATTGAAATATCTTTGTTCCCAGAGGAGTCTTTCATTTTGACTGGAAATGTTCTGATTCACCAGGCGGTCGGTCATCGAGACGAGCCGGTCACTTAAGGAGCTGTTCCACGAGGCCAGAGAGCGAGCGTCCAAGGCTCTGGGCTTTGCCAAAATGCTTCGCAAGGTGAGAGACGACAGCGGAGAATTTTCACTTCCTTCAGACAGAAAGCCACAACAGTGACTTTGCAGTTTGGCGCCTGTGACTCTGTTTCCTCCTAACACCACACTTTGACTCTCAGCTCTGACCTAGATTTTTTGTGTGCATCCCTCTCTGCAGGACTTGGAGATTGCTGCAGACTTTAGCATTACTGATGGCGTGACGTCTCTTCTGGAGGCTCTGAAGAAGAGTAACCATGTCATGGTGGGTTTGTTTTCTCTTGCTTTGGCCTGTTTTATATCTTTATTTTCTTTTCTAAATGTATTAATGTGCCTATAAAACCTTCTGCTCTAATATTCAGGTTCAGATTCCCGGTTTGGAGGAGCTGCAAATGTTCGTCCCCTGTGGACTGATGGATCAGCGTCCTCATATTCTGCAGCTTTTAAACGCCGCTGCAGGAAAGGATTGCTCCAAAGAGCCGGACGAGATGGCCGAGGATGAGGCCTATCTGCTAATGAGTAAACACGGGGCCGGGGACTCCACCACTGAGTCAGACTGGGCTCAGTGGGATGGAGAGCTGCTCAAACTGGTTCCCCAGGTGGAAACTGTTGACACTTTAAGGGCCATGAAGGTCGGTAATACTTCTTATTTTGGTTTGTGTGTGTGGGCGTTGGGTTGAGAAGCCTCTGACGGGTCCAAACGTGCTCTCAGGTGGAGAACATGCTCTTGATCGTGATGCACTCGGCTCATCTGGTGGCTCAGCGGAAGGTCTTTCAGCAGTCGATGGAGGATGTTCTCACTCTTAGCCGGGAGCAAACATCGAGTCAGCCTCTCATCGCGAGCGCTCTGGAAGAACTCAAGGTGCTTACATAACCACACGCTTGGGTCTCTAACCAGTTTAAAAAAGTGTGTTTCTCTTGTTGTTGTTGTTGTTGTTGTACAAACAGGTGCAAGCCGGTGCTCTACTTTTAGCTTCTGTGCAGCTGCTGTCTGCCACACTGATGACATACAGACACTGTCACTCTCCGACCAGATTTAACTTTCACATCTGTTACATTCATACCCACAATACCACACGTCCTCTCTCACATCGATTGCTATCTTTCTTCCACTTCTGCTAGCTTTGAAATGCACTTTATCTGACCTCAGATTATAACTTTTTATTCCCGTTTTCCCCCAATTCTTCCCCACGTCCCACACTGCAGGACGAGGCACTACAGCTATGCATTAAAATCGGCACTGCCATCGACCGGGTGGAGTACATGTTCACCACAGAGTTTGAAGCAGAGGTGGAGGAGTCAGAGTCAGCCACTCTGCATCAGTACTACAGAGAAGCAATGATCCAGGGCTACAACTTTGCCTTTGAGGTACCTGGGGAAAAAAAATAAAACTTTGCCTGCTTTGTATAAGTATTATAATATGTGTATTATTAGATTTAGAGGTAGATATTATCGTTGCATTAAATCACAACAAGGTAATTCCTGATAAATCTCTTTGTTGTTGTTGTTTATAGTACCACAAAGAGGTGGTGCGCCTCATGTCAGGGGAGTTCAGGCAGAGGATCGGGGAACGCTACATCGCTTTCGCCCGCAAGTGGATGACCTACGTCCTGACCAAGTGTGAGAGCGGCAGAGGAACCAAGCCCAGGTTTGGACTCATCTTTAAACTCTTTTCTTCTACTTTCTGAGGAATAAACAGGGTTCCTACGCAAGTATGGAAAAATATGGAAATTGATCAATTTCCAGGTCTTAAAGAGAATGGAAAATGACAAATAAAGAATGGAAAAATATTTATGTTTCCAGACTATTACCACAGTTCTAAAATACTGTTTCTTGAAATAGAAAAATAGGTATTTCCAAAAATAATACTTAAAAGTAGGGTATGGAAAAGTATGGAAATTCCAACTGTGTAGGAGACCTGGAAAAAGTAAACTTCACTTTCAATTACAATCATGGCTCCGCACGGTCGTGTTGCACTTCCTTGAAGCTGAATAAATGAAGCGATCACTCTGCCCCTCCCCTTAAAAAAGTCATTTTGAGCTCAGATGTGTATGTGATGCTGCAGGAGCATCAACTATCATGCACCAGACGAGGACAGATGAGGCTAAAGTGATCTGAATTGTGCACAAGCTTAATCACAGCTCTTATATGTCAACCTTGTGGTGCACAACTTTCTGATATGAGATGTCTTGAAGAAAGAAAAGTTGTTTATCATCTTGTAACAGTTATCTGACTATAAAATGTGTTAAAAATGTGTGCTGACATGATCCAGCTTGATGTAGAAGTGTTATTTTAACTCATCTGTCTTTGTTAGTAGAAAGTTTGACACGCTTTTTACATGAACGGTCCCGTTTCTCCCACAGGTGGGCGACTCAGGGTTTTGATTTCCTTCAAGCCATTGAACCTGCCTTCATATCAGCATTACCAGAGGAAGACTTCCTGGTAAAAAAAAATTTTTCTTTTTCTTTTTCATTTGCGACAAATTGCTGAGTCATCATGCTCTTGAGTGTTTCATGATCATTGTGCTGAATGTGCATCCTTTTTCTGCAGAATTTACAAGCTCTGATGAATGAATGTATCGGACATGTGATTGGAAAACCCCACAGCCCGGTTACAGGCCTCTACATCGGTAAGATTATTCCGTCTGATGTGAACTCCAACATGTTAAGTTTGGGGTTTATGTCAGTGCATACACTCAGTCTCGAGTATCAAAGAGGCTTTCAGGAACTCTGGAGCATGTATGTAAACGACCTCAAGGCTGCAACTCATTTGAGTGACTCTGTGCTGCTCCTCAGTGGCCAACAGCAGTAAAGCCCGTTTGCCTCGCGTGAGTGTGGAGTTGTGCAGCTACGCCTGTGGAGCTGGGTGTAGCTGGAAAACAGCGTGTTAGCTCAGCAAACATTTCCTGATCAAATAAAGACGGAGACAAAAACAAAAACAGAGAAAACAGTCAGGGTATCGGCACAATGGGACAGCCGTGTTCCTGCCATTCAGGAGTGGAAAGTAAACAACAAAAGTGAAAATATTTTTGCTTTTGAGTTTTGTGATATGAGATATCTCCGCTTTAAAATTTATTTTACTGATAATTTTTACAGTAACCTCCTATATATAAACACTTAACATTCTTTACTCCTCCACTTTGCACTAGAAATTATTTATATAACACTTTCTATGAACCCACCTCTTACAATGCACCACAAGCACATTAATTCATCCTCATAAATGCATTTAAAACGCTTTATTAGGGATTGTAAATATTCATAACAGCTTATAGCAGTGTGTTTATGAGGTGTTATAAGCAGAGAGCATAGTACCTTATAAAGTTACGGTTTATTATAATTCAATATATAGAGTTTTAATGAGTTTTTTTTTTTTTTTTTTACAAAATATAATAATTCTGCTTTGTTTATTTTAGTTTTAACTGATGTTAGAGTCAGATGAGTCTAAATATGAGAAGTTTGACCAGCAGAGTAACTGTCTGGGGTATTTTCATCCGGACAACTCAGAATAATGTTTAAAAGTTTGAGTTCAACATGAATATGAAGTAAAGACAGTAGAAAATCAAACAAATGTGGTCATCCTCTTCCTCAAAACTCCATGTGATGATGAGACTCCTCTGTTGTTCGTTTTGTAGATCGTATCAAATCTGTTTCCAGAGTTTTGGATTATCTCTTGGTTTTTCCAAACGAACAGACTGTGTGTGGAGTAAACAACTTGTGAATATAGCTGAAGCGGTACCTCTACTTCTTAATTTCTCTGCTGCTAAAGTCATGAGTGTGTGAAATTGTGCTGCAGCTAAATCTTGTGGAAATTTGATTATTTACAAAAAAAATGAGTGTTTCACAGACTTATATGATGCACTCGGCACACTTCTTATTTCACAGGAGATTTCCTCCAAATTAAAAAAAAGGGAGATTTACTCCGGAGTAAATCTTCGGTTTCTCAACTGAATCCAGTACGTGTTGTTTTCCCCTTTCAGCTCCTAGGAACAGTCCTCGTCCTGTGAAGGTCCCTCGCTGCCACAGTGACCCACCAAACCCAAACCTGTTCATCCCCAACGCCGAGGGTTTCAGGTAGGTCCTGTAGATAAGAGAGTGCTTTAAGGTTTAGACTTTTTCCTGCATGGCTTAATTCGCCTCTTAATCTTTGCTTTTGATGCTTTCTGATGTTTTTGCTCAGTAGTTGTTGAGCTTGTGTGTGTGTGTTTTGTAAGAGTCAGTGGTCATGATTGTTTTTTGTGCCCAATCTGAGTGAGTGAGTGAGTTTATGTGCGTTTGTCCCTCAACCAGCCACTAAACCACTCCCTTAAAAGTCTATTCGCATCCAGTAAGCCCTGTCCCCTCCCATGGCAGAGCTCCTCAGTTTGTTTTTTTTAACCACACAGCTCCCGAAGTCTCCCCTGCGACCTCCGGAACCAGCTTTTCCCCAACGGCCCTCGCCCCGTCCCTCAGGGCCCGGGGGAACAACACAGCCACACCAAAGCAGCCAGCAGCAGCCCCAATGACGTCAGGTAGCTTTGCCCCCCAGAGTCACCTGGTAGAAACTGCTCTCAAAACACAAAAGCAGGAGCCGGCACAAAGGCTCCTGCAGAATAAAGAAGGAAATGCTTCATTTTATCTCAGGGTTTGAATTCTGTTTAGATTTTTTTAGCTTTTGTGTTAAAAAGAAACTCTTTCAAAACCTCTAGAAATAAGCTTCAGCTGAGCACCTGAAACGACGGTACATCCCAAATCAATGACGTGCAAATATAAAACTTTAACAGGCAATGATGGTACACCCTAAAATTACAATTTCTCAACTAAAAACGTGCAAGAAAACTCCAGCATTAAAATCTGACACCCGTATAAAGCCAATCTCCTTTTCTGTCTAAGTTCAGCATCTCTATGCTGTTCGTTGGTTTACTTAGAAACTAAACTCCTTATATCAAAGATAAGTTTTTTACGACAGAGTTTTAGGGCCACATCAAGAAAAAAAAGACTTAGAGATTAAAGTCATTACTAACGAGAATAAAGTCTTAATAAAACATTATGATACATTTGATAATGTGGTCCTTATGTGCCAAAAGATTAAGTATCTCCTTGTTTGAGAAACCTATATTGAAGTACATTTTCACAAAATGCTCCATGGCTCATTTCAACAACAGGTTCATCTTGAACAACAGGTTAGAATGTAAGGACTTTATTCTGACTTTATTCTTATAAGTAATGACTTTACGACAACTTTATCCTCGTTAGTAATGACTTTATTCTTATAAGTTTTAACGACTTTAATCTTAGTCTTCAATTTTTCTTTTCGTAATGTGGCCCTGATACTCTGTCGTAGCTTTTGTTTGATGTACATGTCTTACAATTTAGTCAAAAGGCCCAAAGTTTGCCTATTAAAGGGATAGTTTATGTTTTTTTAGTGGGGTTGTATTGACCTCTTGCAGTCATGCGTCCATTCTGATATCCTCACAACAGTAGATGACAGAGGCAGAGGTGTTGACTCTAGCTTATTGTGCATCTTTGTGGACAATTACGTCTGAGGTGTATTTGCAATTTCATAAAAGCAACATAATAGAGTCAGCCTACTGGACATGAATAGCAGTGACTCTGTCGAATAACATATATAAGGAGTTACTCATTCCTAAACTAACTGATTTCTGTAATCCAGCTGTCATTGTGTTAATCTAACGGTTTAAGTTGTCATCTGCTTCAGTCTTGAGATTCATCATGTTAGAAAAGACTTTTTGTCGGTATCTGTGACGCACTGTTTACTCATTCAATCACATTTGTGTCATTAGAGATGAGATAAAATCACTCTTGATATGTTTGTGAGGTGATAACGAATCTTATGACTGACACAGATGAGAGCTCATAATGGAAACCAGTTAGCGTAGGAACCAATACGTCCATTATAGCAGCTGCCAGTCCTCCCACTGTGTGGCTGTGATCCACCGCTTCCTGCTGTCCACAGATTTTAGAACACAATAGACCGCTATAGCAGCCCTCCCTTCCCTGTTAGTACACCCCACTTCACAGCAAGAGGTAGTCATGGTTGAATATGTAGATCACAGTTTAACTCTGGGAGTTTGTGGACCAGCATCCAGTAAGTAACAAGTCCAGGTAGAGGTGGGCAGACATGCAGAAAGTCAATATAAGGCACTTGTCAATAGCAAATGTGTTTCCCAGAGAGGATTCAAGTCAAGATGAGGAAACCACCTGCTGCAGACCGGGTCAATTTGACCTTTTTTTAAGCTCATTTCAAGAAACTCCAACCAAACGTTCACATTGGCAGAAGTACACGCTATATTAAAAGTTTGTAATTTCTCCACTTTGCTGCACTGATTGATAATCACTGTCAAATCAGCCAGTTTTTCCAGTTTACCTTTGGTCTTTTTTCTAAGTCTGCAGACTGAAGCAGCTGATCTTAGAGCTTCAGGCGGAGGGAGACATATCTGTAAACAGCAAAATTAAGTGGTAAAACTGGACCTATTTGCGGCACTCTGTGTCCTCGCTCTGTGCCTGACTGAGGCTCTCTGTGGGTAACACACTCTCTGTTGAGAAGCACCTCACACAACCCCAGTCAATAAAAACAAGAATAATCTCGTCAGTTCTTGAGGCATTTCCCTCCAAAATGAACTTTTGAAGATGAATAATGAATGCATTGATGCCACATTTACAGCATGGCTGTTCATACATGGTAGTTTTAATCATACAAGACTCGCTCCAGCTTTAATAAAGTTTTAGGAAATGCATCTTAATAATAATAAAAATAATAACATGCATGGTAGTGGACTCGCAGAAACCCTCAAATGTCACTGAACCAGCAAAATGGACTCAAACAGGTCTGATACCAGTCACAGGAAGAGACTGATTGTTGTGCATGGTGTGAAAATGACCAACAAAAAAACCACACACTACCTCATTGAAGAGTGGGCTATGATGTTCGGCTTATTAGTGCTTTAACTTCAGTCTGGCTTTGATGCTGGTGGTTCACAGCTGTTAGAGTTTGGGCTTTTCTTGTGTGCGCTTTTAGAGTCAGAACATGCACTCCAGATCTAACCTTCAAGTGTGTCTGAGCTGTTTAATGACTCTGATGATGCATGCTGAACTTTTAATGGGTTTCAAAAGGCAAGCTGGGAATTGGTTCAATCTCTGCTTCTCTTTAGAGGTCAGACGAGTTTTTGTCAGGTTCTGAATTTCTGTCATAGAATAGAGAAAGTCAGTGTCTGTGTGATTTTTATTCTTACCTGTCTGAAAAAGCACTTGAGTAAAAGATTTCTATCACTTCTGCGAGTGAAAAAGACCTTTTTTTCATTCAGCAGTGCTCCGTAATGTTAAATCTTCTACATTAAATCAAAGGTGAAGGAAACACGTTCCAGCATAGCGTACATAATCATCCTGGAAGCGTAGAAACTAAGTGCAGTTTTGGCAGAAGTTAGTCCTCTCTGTTTTAACTTTATTATTAACAGATAAAACCTCCTGACGGTGAGAACCAGTCGTTTTTAAACGAGGCAGAGTGTTGCATCACGTTCCTCCGTGTCCTTACAGGGGATCCAGTTTCCACGAGAACGACCGTCTGTCCACAGTCGCAGCAGAGCTGAATTTCAAATCTCTGAGCCGACACTCCAGCCCCACAGAGGACAGGGAAGGTGGGTGATCTGCATGCTCTGAAACCAACCTGTTCACGTTAAATCTGCTTGCTGTACTGAGTATCATTCTTATGATTCCTTTGATTAGAGCCCTCCTATCCGAAGGGAGACCCTAACAGCGCTGCACGGAGAAGCTGGGAGCTTCGCACTTTCATCAGCCAGTCCAAGGGTGAGATTTAGGAGTGAGACCTGAATGATATCGAAAGAAACTAACATAGAGAGTGTGGAAAAAAACAGGCATTTATATTCAACAAGTATTTTGTGTGCCTATGAAACAGTTAAAACTTCCAGTAATACAATTATATTTTTTTATTATTTGTATTTTTGAGTTTATTTTCTGCCTTTTAAATGAATCTCCAGAAACAAAAAAGGAAGAGATACTAAGGAGGTTGATTTACCTTCGATTAGCTGTCTGCACGTGTGTCTCGAACATTAAAGGGCATCAGGACAGGCAGGAATACACCGTCTTAAATTAAGTCTCGTTTAATTGACCTTCCCTGAGGCATCTAATCTTCCACCAGCATGATGCATGTTTACATTTACAGCCATGTGACACACAGACACAGACTCTTCATGCACAGCTGTTAGGCCTCTGTGTGTTCAAATGAGGGTCTGCATTAAAGTGATATCATATAGATGCTTATTATAGATTAATCCTGGAAAACTAGGGGGTGGTGACAGAAATGTCTCAGGTCATATGGCTGACATTTACACACCCTGACCATTGCACATGGACACGTCATATTTGGTTGGTCGAATAATATGTGTTAAACTTTCAGTCCTAATACAGACTATTGGTCTGAGTTCTCCCAGAGTCTAAAATTAAGCTCCTTTTCTTACTTTCTCTACAGGCCTCTCAATTTTTTGTCCACCACTCCTTTAGATCAGGTACAACCCCACAGAGATGATGTTAAAAAGTGGACATATCAGATAAGAGGGATGAGATAAACATGACATAAACAAAAAAAAAGTCATCAAAAGGCAGGCTGAAAAGATTTTTTTAAAAAACTGAATTTATTTTCCTCCCAAAAACACGTCTAGAAAAGGTTTCCTCTTTATTTTGGTCTGTTTTTTCTTTATGAGAGAGTCAGTGGGGTCGAGGGAAAATAGAGGGACATGCAGCTAAAGGGTAAGGCCAAGAGGAGAACCTGAGAATATTGTTTTGTAATCATCTTCTTCTGTTTCATCTCAGACACAGCGGCTCGACAAAGCCCCATGGAGGCCGTCCGCCGCTCCATCCGTAAGTTCGAGGACAAACGCTACGCCGTGATGAAGCAGCGCAACATTATTGGCCAAGTGTGTCACACACCAAAGTCCTACGACAACGTCATGCACGTCGGGCTCAGGAAGGTGACCTTTAAGTGGCAGAGGGGCAACAAGATCGGTAAGGCGTCCTCCTGTCGTGATGTGGGTGATTCAGAGCACATGCAGGTGGTGATGTCATGTTTTCATGTCAATAACAGGTGAGGGCCAGTACGGGAAGGTGTACACCTGCATCAATGTTGACACTGGAGAGCTAATGGCCATGAAGGAGGTAACCAGTCCAGCAAGATCACTTTAATAGCACCTAAATTAGTCACTGAACACAGAGGGAGTGGTAACTCTTTGAATTTGTTGTTTTGAACCAGATCCGATTCCAGCCCAACGATCACAAAACAATCAAAGAGACCGCAGACGAGCTGAAGATATTTGAAGGCATTAAGCACCCAAACCTGGTGCGATACTTTGGGGTGGAGCTCCATCGGGTAAGAGACACACTGTCATCCATATTCAACCATGTTTTTATGACTCAAGTGATGACTTAAATATATAAGATGGACCAGAACAAGTATTTTTTCATACCAAAGGGAGGGATAAGACTTGGATTTGGCATTATCTGTGAATATAGATGCAAAAAGCTTTTAGATGATTTTAAACTAGGGTGACCTTACGTCCTCTTTTACCCAGACATGTCCTCTTTTTTGGGGGCTGTTCGGCTATGTCTGGCCTCTTCTAGGGTAGTTCATTAAATCCTTTTAAATGTCCGGGGTTTTGTATGCAAGTTTTGAGTTTGTGTGGCGTGGACTTACTAAGTAAGAAGCGCGTAAAAAACACTCGACCCGACCCGAAAAACTCAAAATTTACCATGCTTGATTCTGTGACTCCGCCCCCACATAGTCGTGTCCTCTTTTTGGGGATACAGAATATGGTCAACCAATCTAAACAAGTGTCTCGATACCATCCTAGACCTGTGACGGAACGAAACATGAGCTGGGCTAAAACTTTTAGTTTCAGGGGTGCCAGTTAGCCGAGCAGTTAACGCACTTTTCCCATATAGTCCCTGTCACAGCCCCACATTATCTGTCCCTTTTTAGCTTTCCTGTTTAGTAAAGGCCAAAAGTTTAGGTTTGTTTCAGACACAGTGGAGCAGAGCAAAGGAAAGTAAGTACTACAGAGACCACTGTCTGATGCTTGTCCATTATCCTTTGCACTCTGCTCTTTGCTTCAGATGTATCAGAGCTAAAATAGAGGAGCAGATGATCTTGAAACTGTGGATGCTACAGCAGCTTTTCAATCAGACATGTTTGGGCATTTCGGTTTCTTTGTGTAAAGAAATGAGGAAGGACAAAAGGAATCAGACAAACCAGAAACAGTTTGTAGACACTGCCAGACCGATGCGACCGACATGTTGAGGAATACGAGTAATTCGAGAAGACACTCTGAGAATCCTCATCCCCACCCCAAAACAAATCCAGCCAGGCCGAAAGACTCCAAAGGAAGTGTTTACAGTCTCACTTCTACAAACAGTGCAAGAGCTCGAAAGATCACAAGATGCATCGATGAATCTAGAGCTAAAGATCCAAGAGTTTTTTCTGTGGTTGACAACAAAGGATTCACAGGGTTAGTAAACATGCTGGGGGAGCCACAGTTTGATTCCCAGCAGAGCCAAACTAAAGTCAAACATGATGATCAGCTCTCTGCAAAGAGTCAAGGGCTGAAGATACACAGAGGACTTCATGAGCTACTCAAAGCTACACAGATGTCATTTTTTCCACATTATCTTCATGGTTTTATCTCTGAAGCAGTTTGGTTTAAAACTTTCAATCACACACTTTTGCAGGAGGAGATGTACATCTTCATGGAGTACTGTGATGAGGGCACACTGGAGGAGGTTTCCAGACTAGGGCTGCAGGAACACGTCATCAGACTCTACAGCAAACAGATCACTACAGCCATCAATGTGCTGCACGAACACGGCATCGTCCACAGGGACATCAAGGGTCAGTGTCACAAACTTACCTTGTATTTTTTAAAGTTTTTATAGACGTGTAAAAGTGCCGCATCTTTACCCTCTGTTTGAACTTTGTTTATCAGGAGCCAACATCTTTTTAACGTCCTCTGGCCTGATCAAGCTTGGAGACTTTGGCTGTTCAGTCAAGTTAAGGAACAACACTCACACCATGCCGGGGGAGGTGAACAGCACACTGGGGACTGCAGGTAACCTATTAAATGTCCTTTTCTTTGCGTTTTTCCACCACCAGGGGTCACTGTGGCTTGACAACTCTATTTACAGCGCCTTCTTTTCTAGCTTTCCTTTCACCAAACAAGCTCTGATCTGTTGCTGAAACAATTCTTTATGTAGCTGAAGTGAAGATGTTATATCCATTTATACTTGTGATTCATATAGAACTGTACTCTTTATGTGTATTTTTATACAAATTTGATCCTCAAACCTGTTTCTTTTTGCCACATTATGACACAGTATGTTTATCATGTCTCTGCTTCAGCCTTCTAACTGATCGTTTTCTCTCTTAATCAGCATACATGGCACCTGAGGTCATCACCAGAGCAAAGGGGGAGGGTCACGGAAGAGCTGCGGATATCTGGAGCTTGGGCTGTGTCCTCATCGAGATGGTGACTGGAAAGGTAAGAGAGGATGGAGAAGAAATCAAGGTTTACTATAGTGCTTGTATCTTTTTTGGTGATATTTCAGTACTGCATAATACTAAATAGAATGTAAGCATCATAAATAATCATGAGACTCTGAGTGCAATAGTTTTCTTGCTGTCTCAGAGTCTGTAATTTTTCTGTCTTTCCTAAAAAAAAAAAAGTAAAACAATTTTTTTTCTTCGTCTGAACTCGCAGAGGCCCTGGCACGAGTATGAGCACAACTTCCAGATCATGTACAAAGTGGGTATGGGTCATAAACCCCCCATCCCAGAGAAGCTGAGCACAGAGGGGAAGGACTTCCTCGGTCACTGTCTGGAGAGTGAACCTAAACGCCGCTGGACAGCTAGCATGCTGCTAGACCATCCGTTTGTCAAGGTGAGACAGAGCTCATAGTTCATACTGTGAAGTCCTGATGTCAGCTGTCAAGGCTCAAACTAAACATCAATCATCCTTTTTATGAAGGAGATGGATGAAATATTGTTGGTGTAAATGCAGTTCTGTCTCAATATGAGGTTAAATAATCAAACAAACTTTGTCAGTTTTACATCCTAAATCTTCCAGATTTTAACTTAAGTAACATAAAAAGGTTTTCATTTTTAAAAACAATAAGTTAAATTTTTGGATCAAAGTTGTACATTGAAGGTAAACAGTGTGGAGAAATCACAGAATAAGACCAGGAGCTACTCTGGTTGGTCAAAACGTCATGAGAAAAAAGGGACACAAGATTTGCTCAATTTGTGATTTCACTGATTGGTAAATCTCCAACAGGAAAATCCGTCTTTCATCCTTGTTTTTTGGGGATTTTTTTTACCTTCTTTCCAAAATTGCCCAGTCAGTTTCAGGGCCCAAAATATATGGAAATGTAGCTAAACAATTTGACAAATTGTTGCATGGCAACAGTGGAAGAGGCCCAGAGAGAGCTGGCCAAGCAGTCGCTGATATTAGGGTTTTTGAGACACTAATGTGAGATAGTCTTGTGAGCTGAAAAATCCTGTAAAGCCAAATAAGAATCCTAATGAAATGTTTCACTCTGTTAATATTTCTCTTTTACCTCGTCTGCTTCAGGTTTGTACGGATGAAGAGTGAACGGACCCTCCTCTGTGGCTTACAAGTTTACAAATTAAAGCACTACTGTACTCGCTGTCAGCAAAAAAAAACAAAAAAAACAAACAGAACTGTGGACGCTGAGAAGAGGAAGAGACAGCTGCAGGCACATGGAGTTAAACTGAGGAACTAAAACAGTATCATTTCAGAGGACGACTGGACCTATGGAGTGTAGGGTTGTTGTGTCTATATGTACCCATGGACTGTGGGGGGGAAAGAGGAGGATGAAGGGGGAGGGGAGGGGTGGACTGTACATACTGTAAGAATAGGAGTGGCTTTAATTCTTGTATAAACAATATTGTAAAGTTTAAGTGACTATTGCCACATTTGTTGTTCTCACTGGTGAAGAGACCTCTGGAAAGGCATTGAAGAATACTTTTTTAATAAAAGGGTGAGGGAGGATGGGAGGGAGGGAGGGAGGGAACAAAAATATATGGCACTTTTAAACTGTTTACCCAAGGGGCAGTTAAGTAGAGGAGGGAGGGGTCTTATTTCAGTCGCCCGATGAGGCAGGAGAAGGCGTGGTGAGCCTCGCCGAACAGAAGGAGATTCTGGTTTATGAAATGAACACCATCCAAATATTCAAATTAATTTATCTCTTGTCATTTTGCCGAGCTCGGGCACGAGGAAGGATTATTATTTTTTTTTTAATGTGTTGTTCTTTGCCTTTGCTGAGGAGTTAAATGTCAAGTCGGAGCGATGTTCAAGTCTACTGGTGAGGAGCTGTTCACGTGACTGGAGCGAAGCTGACTGAGAGGAGAACGAGGTCTGCTCTCCCTCCTTGCTGCTGAACACAAAATATCCACAAACGCACACACACACACACACACACTGACACACAACAGAACTTCTGGTCCTCTGCTGCTCTTACAGTGTTTGCTATGTACAAACAATATTAATAAACCAATCGTTTTTTTAACTCTTTGTTCACTTTCTTCTAAAACCATGACTATTGATACACCTGTATGCCAGAATCTGACCAATGACAGGTGAGTTTAATACCATTGTCTGAATATAAAGGCATCTGTTGGTGCTTGTGATGTCTTAGACAGCAAGTGGGGGAGTGTGAGGACTAGAGTGAATTTAGCAACGACTAAACTGCTGAAAAGTGTGATTAAAATGTAAGTGTCCGTGCAGGCCCCAGCCAACACTAAAAGCACCTGCAGTGGACATAATAGACCAGAACTGTGAGCTGATGAAAAAGTGGCTTGGAGGAACAACAAAAGGTTCAAGATGTTAACTTAGTCCACACAAATCTCAATCCAATCCAGCATCTGTGTTGTGCGGTGCATCTAAAGATGCTTTTCCACTGCAGGAATTAGGAACCTTTTCAGAATCAAAATCTGAATTCTTTATTGTCATTGTACCAAAAGGTGCAACGAAAATAAAAAAATAGCAGCTCCTGCAGACAGTGCAAAGAAAAGGTGTCAGTAAAAAAAATAAACTGATATAGCATAAAATAACACAATAGAAAAATATAATTAAAGTAAAAAATATAATATGAATAAAAAATAACCAGGATATTGCACTCAAGACATTCAGGAGTATTGCACTTGATATGAAAGAGAAAATCCCTATTTCACAGTATTTGGCTTATTTATTGATGGAGGTGTTTGCAGCGTTCAGGGCAACGACAGCTCTTGGGTAAAAGCTGTACTTTAGTCTGTATGTTTTTGACCTCATTGCCCTGAAACGCCTCCCTGAGGGTAGGAGTTCGAAGAGGTGGTGGCCGAGGTGTGACGGCTCCCTGACGATGCTGCGGGCTCTCCTAAGGCAGTGGGTGTTGTAGATCTCCTCCAGGAATGGAAGAGGGCAGCCAGTTGGTCTCTGAGTGGTGTTTATGACCCTCTGGAGCTGCTTCCTCTGACTCCACTCCACCTCTCTTTAGTTCTGGGGTAAAAGAGCTACTTCTTGAAAAGCCCTCATTCGAAGGGTGGTTAGTGACTCCTACACAAAGCTTTGGCTTAGTTTCCAAATACCATTCTAGGATCTCATCAGCCTGATTTACATTATTTACCCTGAACTTCAGGTTCGAGCTTAACCGTGGAAACGCAGATGACAGCGGGCCACAGGAAACATCTAGTTCCTGAAAAGAAGAGTCCCTTGGAAGTAAAAGTTCTGGTTACTTTTGATAGAAAAACACTTTTAGTCTGATCCAGGCTTAGCTCTATTTTGACGATTACAGAGGTCTGATAGAGTTCAAGACTCATGGATCAGGACTGTTTTGGATCTGACCTGAAGAAGGGGGCCCAGACTTCTAAATATAACTCATTTGTTGCTATAATTTAGGTTTGTAAGTAACTTATTGAGTTCATGACTTAAATATATAATCCTACAGGGTTGCTTTGTTGAATTGATCCAACAAAGTTTTTGTTGGTCTGATTTTTTTGTACTTTGTCATGTTTATCCTAGTACAAAAAAAGATAGTAGATTAAGTTTAACTAAACAGCTTTGTTATAGTTCACTTCATTACTCAAGTGCAAAGTAACTGATAGTTTGCAAAGCCCAGCTATAAGACTAAGCTTCCCAACACTGCAGCGTATCATTATGAGATCAGAGTGATGTTTAAGGTCGTTGACTCTGACACGTTCAGCTCAGTGTTAAGACAGAAATACAGGTGTGGAGACGGGTGATCACTCCTTTGTGGTCAGCTACTAGCTGTGCGAATCATCAGGACACTGTGGTGTAAACAACAAGGTGTAGTTGGACCGAGTTTCAGCTACAGGGTAAAGACACAAGTCCAGCTTTATAACAGGTCTGCTGCAGCAAATGATCATGTGAGCTTCAGTCAGGCTGCAGTTAAAGGGGGACTTTCATTCTGTCATTTAAAGGTTGCACAATCTAAAGCCTTAAACTTCTCATTCCTCACATATTACCACACAACAAGATAACTGTATTACTCAGCTCCCTCAAACACACCTATCAGCTCAGGCCTGGTGTTGTATAAGGGTGTGACGGTGATTCACAGCACCAAAACAGCAGAAAAGGTCAAAAATCAAACAACACATGAAGTAAAAAAGAAACTAATACACCTACATCTATTATTTTATACCATATAAATAATCGGTGTTTGTATTGATATTTGGTAAATTGATGGAAAAACTCAGAAGTTGTTCATGTTGCTGTATGAGTTGCTGATCCTCCTCTTTTGCCCTTTAGTGAAGTTGTGCCAGAAAACTTGCGTCTGAAGATAAACTTGTCATGTCAGTCAAGTTTCTCTTTTATTTTTGCACATTCATGTTTTGTTTCATGTCTTGCATTTCCTGTTTTATTTTGGAGTTTACTAACCCTTGTTTCTGTCCCATAGATTTATTCCTGTCTGGTCTGCTCTGCCCCCCGTCTTGTCACACCTGCCGCCAGATTGTGTCTCCCCACCTGTTTCCCATCACCCTCATTACCTCTTGTATTTTACCTTGTGTGTCTCACAGTCTCGGTGCAAGTTTGTTGCACTTCTTGTCTCATTTCAGCATTCTATCATAGCTGTGTAATACCTTTGCCGGCCTTTTTAGACCTTGCCTTTTACCTCTGCCTGACCTGACTGCCTTTTCGTGTCCCGACCTTGGCCTGATCTAACCCTGTCTGTTTGATAAAGCTGAATCAGTGTGTGCTGTTGTGTCCTCCTATCTGTGCTCTGGTTCATGACAGAACTACAGTGCAGTGGGGGGAGTGCAATTAAAAAATCCAAAGTACATTAAACTAAAGTGACCAGTGATATAGTGACTGAGTTAGAAGGAGTTCACGAGTTCAATGGCAGAGGGGAAGAAACTGTTCTTATGGCGGGAGGTTCTGGTCTGAATGGACCGTAGCCTCCTGCCTGAGGGGAGTGTCTCAAATAGTCCATGTGCAGGGTGAAAAGGGTCAGCTGTGATCCGACCTGCTCGGCCCCAAGTCCTGGAGACGTACAGGTCAGCCCACAATGCGCTGCAGTCCGTGTCTGTCCCTGGCAGTGGCCCCGGCGTACCACACCGTGATGGAGGAGCTGAGGATGGACTTGATGATGGCCGTGTAGAGACTTTGCCACATTGAGGACCACCAAAACCTCTAAGTATGGCATGAAAAGGGACTGTTTGATCCAAAACTGAATCTGCACCAATGATTTGGTGTGCCACAGGGATCTGTCTTGGGTCGAATCTTATTTTCATTATACCTGCAAGCATGGCGTGACATTTCATTATTTTGCAGATGATACTCAGTCATTCCTGCACAGAGAACCTTTCGTGCTGAGTTCTGTAAATTGTCTGATATTAAGAGTAGATGTGAAGAAACACAGATGTAATTATCGGATCAAAATACATGACTAAGCAATAACCGTCATCTGCAGGTCTGCTGTTGAAACACATCAAACCTGCTGCAGTGAATTTGGCGTCAGGTTTGACAGTTTCTTAACTTCTGAGCAGCACACAACAAAGCTAGTTTGATCATGTTTTAATCATCTCAGAAATATGTGTGGGAATCCAATTTTGACCTGGCAGAGACACAGAGACGTCTTTGCATATTTTCTCTCATCAAGCCTCGGTTATTGTACTCGCCTGTACCAAAAATCTGTGCAGAATTTAGCTGCCTGGGTTTAAACCAGAACCATAAAGCATGACCCCATCACTCCGGTTTTAGCTTCTTCACACTGACTCCCTGTGTGATGTTACAGTGATCATTTTAAAAGTCCTAAAATAACTTTATCGTAGCTACAAATCAGACCCAGTTGGTGCAGAACAAGCTAGCATGTACAGTGAGATCCTCAGATATGGATCTTCAGTGTGAACCAAAAAGTGAAAGCAAAATGGGACAGAGTGTTCGCAGTGAGGGGCAGACATCTCTTCTTTAGTTCGTATCTTAAAATATGCTTATATCATAAAGACCTTTCTTAATTCCAACTTTTACTCTTTTGTCTTCTGATTCTGCCTTTGTGTGATTTTACAACCTGCCTGTTTCATTTTGCACCATTTTTATAACTTGATGTTTAAGAAATAAGTTAATTATCATAAGTTTACTTAGTCTTACTGAAACAGAGTCACACTATTTATCACTCGCCATCCTGGTTGATATAGTAGTTTCCTGTTGTAACCAACAAACCTGTGAACTGCTTTAATCAAGATAAACAAGTGCCACACAAACATTACCACAAAAAGAGTCATATTGGTGTCAAAATTTAAGTGTATGACATATTCAGGATGTACAAGTTAAAAATGTCATGTTTATTGGATTATGAGGTGCTTCATATTCAAAGCTACTCTCAAAAAATGAGTAAAATGTCTGCAGAAAATGCCACTAGAGAAAGTGAGCAGCTTGTTGTGAGACTTCTGAGTTTCTCTGCTTTGTTGTGGTATGTAACTATGGTAACATTAAGTTCCTGTTTACACCAGAGGGAGGGGAGTTTGTCCCAAAAGCGGTCTTCTTTATCTGATCCCCCCACCATGATGAAGTGTGCCTCATTCTGCTTCGGGCATGACTTCAAATAGAGTTTACTTTATTCTCTGAGTGATCACCGGGAGGGACCGGTTTGGGAAAACTCCTGCAGCGTCTCCGTACAAGGTGCAAAAATGCAGGTAATGTTTTTATTTATTATACCAACACAGGGGTGATATCTTCTCAGGTATTCAGCATTTGCTATGTGCAAATAATACAAAGCAGAATATGTTTAAAAGAGTGAATTTTTTATTTTACTCCATCATTAAAAAACACATAAATGTAAAAAAGACACATTAATCCTTTACATATCATCCACAGAGGTAGTCTGTTTGTCACTTGGTAGAAACCTTGAGTTATAAGTCAAATTGCTTTCCTTGGCTGTGTTTAGTAAAATCAATGTAGCAAAGCCTTTTAAACCTCGATCAAAATCATTGCATATATTCCCAGCAGTGCAGTTCATGTTCGTACACCTTGAACTTCTGCAGCAGAGCTCTGAGGAGAGACTGCACTCTCAGCTCTGAAGCAGGTTTGCACATGTAGGACCAGCAGATCCTGTCAGACAGGTATTTATATATATATCCATCTGCCAGCAGCTCGCAGGTTCGTATCTGTGCAGGAGTCTTTAATTGTTGTTCAGAGGAACTTCCTTAGTGCCATAAGTCGAGCCTCTGTCAATCTCAGTCTGGCCAATCATCCAGCTGACTCCGAGTGAAGCTAGGAAAGAAGGATTCAGACAGAGGATGTTCAGAGTATTGACAAAAACGTGATGATGATTCAGAAAATTTAGTCGCAAGATAAAAAAAACTTCTGTCCTGAAGTTTTCACATGAAAGAAAACAAATTTGAATGATTGAAAAATGAAAAATATATAAAATTAGATTTAAAAACCATGAAAATATGAACTCTATTCTAGGATGCAACGGTGTGCGAAAGCCCCGCCCACCAGCAGCTCTTAACTGTCAATCATCTCTGCAATATGGTCTGAAAGATAGATGAGGAGCTGATCTACAACATTTTCAGAGCTAAACTGGTACTTCTTAAAATCAAAGTCCTGTCAGACGCAATTCATCTTCTGACCAAAAAAATGTTTCCTGCTGACTTCTGAGACTCAAATGAATTCCTTATTGTGATTGTTTTAAGCGGAAATTGTAAGAGCAGGGCTGTTTTTAACTCCAAGAGTCTGAAAGATGAATTTGTAGAGTTTGTCTCAGGTCCACTTAAGTAGAGACAAACATTTATTTTCTCTTTTCGAGCTTAGAAAATTGTCCTTACTAGGTCTGGATCTGCTTCTCTTCTCTGTTTGTTGTGTTTATATTGAATACCAAGGCTAAGTAACATCTAAGTCTCCCTACGTAGACTGGTGACTGTGTGAGTACACGCACAGACACGTGTTTATGTTTGATATGCTGAAACTGGACAGGAAGATCTTGGCGCAGTAACTTGTAATGCAGGATGCATCATTGACCCCCATGTGGTCCCAGTTAGAAAAAAACATAAAAGTAAAGAAACTGAAGAATGAACTAAAAGTGAAGACAAACTTTGAAGGTTAAGTCTGACAGATCTTACTGTCAGAAAATTTGATTATATTTAACCAGCACTTCTGAATAAATGTTAAATATTTAGTCTGCCTTCTTTAAAAGGAAAGCACGTGTTAACCTCTAACACAAACATGGGCGCTTTATAAATGTGGAAACTCGCTCCTCATGCTGTAAGAGAAAACACAACATCCCAGTCAGACTATCCGCATGGTTTAATGATTGACTTTACTCAGTTAAATCATGCCTGAATGTTGTTGTGGGCATGCTCCCAAGAATGATAAAACATCGCTCTATAAAGGAGACTTACATGTCAGTCCTCAAATCTGCAGCTTTGTGGAGCAAAAAGGAAGAAATTGAAGGAAAGACCATTAATTCTGTTTCAGGATCACTTTGTAAAAATGCATGAAACCCACCTGCAGAGCAGAGGACCACGGTGACTAAGATGGTCAGTATCGATCCAGAGCTGATCAGCTGAGTTAAAAGCAGGACCAGTGGATAGAGGAGCAAGCTGGACCAGAAGAGCCAGTTGATCAGGGACCAGGGTCGTCGAGGAGGGGTCACTGTGGGACCAGGGTAACGACCTGTCTTGGAGTAATGCTCCTGGAAGGTGTCCTGCAGTTACATGAATGACAAAAATCAAAACAAGAGTCCTCACAGCTGATCAATTAAGAGATTTCTAAGCCACCAGGAGAGGTTATGTAGTGCAGCCTCGGACTGTTACATGACGCTGTTATCATCACGCTTGGTAAAAATGAGAGACTAGTGTTCTGGATTTAGTCTCTATAAGAAAAAAACGTTATTTGTATCCTGCAAAAACTCCACTTCAAACTCTCTCACCTTTTCCTGGTAGAGTTTGTGGAGCCAGGCGGCACACTCTGCTTCATCCTCTGGGATCAACTCTAGAGGAATTCTCCTGTGAATAAAGGAACAAATCAGACATCCATCCATCCAGCCATCCATTTTCTACCGCCTATTCCCGTTCCTAGGGTCACGAGGGAGGGGCTGGGGCCTATCCCAGCATCTTCAGGCAAAGGCCAAAGGGGACACCCTGGACAAGTCGCCGGTTCATCACAGGGCTGACATATAGAGACGAACAACTATCCACGCTCACATTCACACCTATGGGCAATTTGAAAGTGGCCAATTAACCTAACCCCACTTAGGCATGTTTTTGGGATGTGGGAGGAGACCGGAGTACCTGGAGTAAACCCACGCAGACACAGGGAGAACATGCAAACTCCACATGGAAACGCCCTGACCCAGATTCAAACCCAGGACCTTCTTGCTAACCACTACACCACTGTGCCGCCTCCAAATCAGACATGTTAAAGAAAATATACATCAACTGGAAAATAAGTGCTATTTTTATCTAACTTTCTTGTACCTCACATATAAATCTGCATGGTACTTCTTCCCGTTGAGAATCCCTCGCAGCGTTGGTGTCTCTTTGTCTCTAAAGTTCAGAGTCGAATCATAAACTGCTGTGGCTGCGAAGGAAGAGAGTCACAGTTAGCTTTACAAGTCATTTGATTTGCAAATGTTTCCGTCCTTTCACTCCCAAACAGATCCAGCTCAAAGTTTCTGATATCTGCAGGAGGCCGCTTTTAGACACTCACCAGTCCCTCGGAGGTTTTGCACGGTTACCCAGAATCCTTTGGTCCTGGGCAGAAGATGATACTTCAGTTTGGGTAAACCTTTGCTCTCGGCCACCTGCATGCTGATCTGGTGCTTCTTTTGTGTGAAGCGTGTCCCTTCACAGAAAAGCAAGAACTACCCCGTAAAAAAAAGAGATTTATTTCATTTTCTCATTTCAATTTTACACATTTCACTTTCTATTTGCTGAAACGTACCCAAAAGCTTTCTGGGTAATCATGCAGATTCTGCAGACTCTCAGCCACAGTCCTTCGGTCCTCCTCCCACTTCCTCTTGCAGAAAACTATCTCCAGGAAGTACCACATCCAGCCAATGACAGGTACATAGCTCAGATCTTTCTTGGCTAACACCTTGGAGCTCTGGAAAAATATCACAAGTTCAAGTGCATTAAAATCAGACAGTTTAGTATAAAAAAAGACTCACTGATGGAGATTTCTGGGTCACTCTCTCTTACCCCTAGCACACCAAATCTCTCACAGAAGGTCCAACCACACAGGAAGTCTATCTCAAATGCGTGGTTAAGAACAACAATTGCATTTTCTTTTCCATACAGCTGGTAGCTCTTTGGGTCTGTGTAAAGTGTGCACTCAGTCCCAGACCACCACTCCAGGGCAGCAACCATCTCTGAGAATCACGAGGACAAAATACAGAAGGAAAGTCAGCGTTTAGGGAAGTACGATCCCACAAATGTCAAGATTTTAGCATCAAAAACTTCCATTATTACAAATTCTTTTGCCCACATCAACATCCACTCAGTTTTGTCTTCCACTGCATACTTGGTTGCCACCCACCAAATACAAAAACAACAAGTCTGTTCTGCTAAGTGTTACCAGATACTACACAACTGTACCATTAAGTCATCATTTTCTCCCTCCCTCAGCTCTTTCTGTTCTAATACAGGCGTTAACTTTTTCAATTGTCTAACTTAGGGATGCACCGATCTGATATTTGATATCGGTATCGTCCTGATACTGAAGAAAATTCTAGATCGGGTATCGTGACAATAGGCCTTACGCGATGCTATGCCCCGTGAGTGACATCCGCAAGTAAACAACCTGAGCCCGCATTGTTTTCAAAATAGAGCGAGCAAAGAGGTCTGCTATCTTGAACTTTATCACAATACCTCAGCCTACAAGCCTAACGGCCACTAGTAAACATTGCGAGGTGCAGTGGTAAAACTTAAGGTTACAACAAAAGGTAATTCAGTGCAGCTTATCGGAATTAGATTGGGATCGGCTGATACTAAACTGTATATATCTGTATCGATATTGGAGGTGGAAAAAGCGGATCAGTGCATCCCAAGTCCAACTCCAGCTCCTGACCTCTTTCTGCATCTTTGCTTCACCCTCACCAGTGCCTTGACTCTTCAGCGGATATCCCAGCCTGCTCTTGGCCTCATTACCTCTTTGAGTACCGACAACAGGAACCCCAGTGACATTGCACATTTGTCATAACTTTTGGTGCATTTTAAAAAGACACTCATTTGCCTTTTTTAAAAAAAATCTTGCTCTGTGGCAGTTTGGACTTAGTAAACCGGCTGTACAGGAACTAAAAGGTAGAAAAGGATAAAACAAAGAACAATCAAAGTCGGAGCCTTCTACAAAAAAAACTCTACCTGTTTCAAAACCAATCGTTTATGTTCTTCTCTTACTCCTCATTCATTAATGCACTTTCAGCCGCAGTGCACTTTCCTCTGGGATCATATAGCTCTATCTTATCATTGCTTATCTTACTTTATCCTAAACATCGTCAATTCACTTTTCCTTTAAGACATAAAAAGCCTCCATGTGGTTATACACACCACATGAGGTACAGGACACTTAAGCACTAACAGCCACATGGCAGCCATTTAACTCACTGTGTAGAATATATTGCGAAGTACAGACCTTGTGCAACCCTGCGCAAGGACAACAGCAGCCCATAACTGATTGAAAATTAGTTAACTCAGCATGGAGTATCTTTAATATGTTTATTTTGGATGTTATGTTTTTGGAGAAAAATGCATAAAAAGCCACTGATCTGTGTTATCTGTGCGTCAGAGGGGTAGAGCTGTACTTACGGCTGCTGATGCAGTAGCCCAGTCTGATGTTGACCCTACGAGCCAGCTGCTTACTGACCAGCCACAGAGGTAAAGTACAGAGCTGCAACAGATTGATGATAAGTCCACTGACCAGGAACACATAGCACATAAACAGGTGACACAGGAACTGGGACTTCAGCAGCTGCAGGAACCCCATTGTTCTGAAAAAGTTGCACAAGTGATATCATTAAAACAACTACCTCCTATTGAGTCATATTTCATCATGCGGCTAAGTCAAGCAGAGATATCAGCTCGTGTTGCGCTTGTCTGTGTCAGCGACTCAGCAGCACATCGGGATATAAAGCCTTTCTTTGACTGGACTTTCTCGCTCTTCCTGCTGAATGGAGCCTTTCAGCTGGACTGTGCATAAACAGCTCATCGCACAAGTTTGTTCCTAAAAGTACACATTAGTTTTCCAAGGTTAGGGGCCCAAGTCAGACTGATGAAGTAGTTTGTAGTTTTTGGATGGGCATCAACTTTTGGTTATAGTTTACATGCATTTCAACTGCTCCTGTTGGTACAACACAGACCTGTAAGTCCTGCACAGTGATAGATCTCTATTTCAGGAGGTTAGGTGAGACGGGAGGATAATGGAAAACGCAGCAGAGGGCAGATCAATAAATATGAGTAAAATACTGAGTTTAGTTTTGTTCTATATGCACAGTGATTTCATTATAAGTTATACTTATAAGTTATAGATGCAAGATGTCTTAAACTGGTGAAAAAGGCTGGCTCTGTGGTTGGACTCAAGCTGGACTCAGTGGAGGATGTGGTGGAGAGATGAGACTATTCTAAAGAACATGGATCACCCACTTCACAACACCTTGATGGACCAAAGGACCAATGGTGGTGGACGGTTCCTCTCTCTTTGCTGCAGGACAGGAAGATTCAGAAGATCTCTCGTACCAACAGCCATCAGGCTATATAACTCTTGTGTAAATAATAGATAACTTTTGGAGACATATTATGTGAGACAACAAACAATTGAATTTTCCTTCAGGGATCAATAAAGTTCATATTCTTAGTCAAGCTGACCTGACAGTCTGCAGATTAAGTGTCATCAATAATCTATAAATTTTGAAAATCCTCATGCTGTGATCAGATGAGATGATAAAAAAGCAGAAACTTAAAAAAGATCACACTGTAAACATGATCATGACCTATAAGTCACCAAGCTGAGTTTGAGGTTAAAGGTTAAACTCACTCCTCACCTATGACAGACCCTAAATCTGTCTTAAACACGTGACTCTTACCTTGATCAGTCTTTGGGTCCCTGTAAGGCTCCAGAAATCCTTTCCTCAACTTTTCAAAAATGTTAAACTACACTTATAAACCAGTCCTTTCACCATTCCATTTGAGCTCCTCTCCGTCAGATTTCACACAATGTTTATTCAGTGTGAAGATTTACCAGTCGACACACTGTGAGGAAGGAAACTCCCCTTCTTTAGGCACCACACCCATCTGAAAGCCGCGCCTGAAGCCGAGGATGGAGCTATCTGAGCTCGGCTTCCTTCTAGAAAGACTGGAGGAGGGCTGCCCGCAAAGATCGTCTATTCAGTGAAAACTCGATCATAAATAAAGAGAAATGTAACGCTGCTCATCTTTATTTTGACCCACAAATACATTCTACAGCTAAATAACTAAAAAGCAAAACTCTGAGCAATTTTGGCACAACATTAATACCTTACAGAAACGCAAACGGAGTGAGACCTCTGTCAGATTTTACGCCTCTCTACGATACCTAGTTTGGTCACAGGAAACGCACGAGGCTGTCAAATCAGAAGTGGAACCATAGTGGAGCACGTGCGTTACGGTGTTTTTCCCCCTGAAACTAAACGAAGTACAAACGACGTGATCGTAAGTTTTTATATTATGAGCAGAAACGTGTTTTCTGAGGTTTGAAATGACTTAAAAAACCCAAAGTGACAGAGTAAAGTTCAGTCTGTCACCATTATGAGGCAAACTTACTTAAAAGTGAACCGGACAGCTCCACCTGCTGGTCATGTACCATACATGCAGCTAATTTCGAGCTACAAATATTAAAAAGTCTACTTAAAACCATTATAAAGTACTTAAACGTCCATACTAGTTTAAAGCTCATACTGTTTATCCTTTGTTCTTTGCAAAATTTTTATGTACTGTGTGGTATTTATTAGAAGGAAATGAAAATATAATGATCTCTGTGAAATGGAATATCGTCACCCTATTAAAATAACGGCCTAAGTCATTTTTTGACAAAAATTATTTAGGCGATTTTACCTGAGATGGCCAGCATTATCAAGAGATGATTTAGGCCAAAAACTCATTTTCATCAAAAAATGACTCAGGCCATTATTTTGATAGGGTGACGATATAAAATGTGTAGACTGTTGTAAATTAAAATTAGTGTACAATCACTTACATAATCCATTAATATTGCTTACCTGCCTTGGGGGAAAAAGATATTAAAAGACGTCCAATGGTAAATATTGACAAATGGGGATCATACTCATCATGCATCCCTTCCTGACCTCAAAGGCCACCATCCTTTTACGGATGTAAACGGTAACGAAGGAAGCGTTCAGATCTTGAATCTGCTGCTAGATATTTCTAAATATTTTCCCACTGTGCCTTTAAAGGTGTAGAAATACAGCATTTAGCAGAGCAGACTAAGTAGACATGGAATAAAGTCTTCATTAGTATATTTAAATGTCCAAACTCAGTCATCCTGATGCTACTTGAATATGACTCTGAGACAGTTTCCACCTGCCGCCTCTAGAGGGAGGTAAAGAGGTACCAAACATAGCTCTGTCCTGTGACTCAAACTTTCTTAGAAAACTTTTCTCTGCTGCACATAAAAAAAAATGACCTGACTTTTTAGTGCGCACAAACTTTTTTAGTATTTTATCTGCAAAAGCCATCATCTTGTGTACTCAACCTTTGTGCCAAACAAAGCAGGATCTGATTATTTTTCTTTGCAGCCCAGAATTCCTAAAAAGAGGTCAGTGGGGTCCCATGACTGTTCCACCTTAGGGGGCTGCTGAAAAGTGTTTCCTATAGCTCTCGTTTTACAAGTCCCATAATGCCTCAGCCCCCACGTCCTTTATGACTGAAATAACCTTGAAAAGAGAGGGGATGCCTTTCTGAAGGGGTCCGAGCATAAAGCAAAGCAGCTCAGACAGCGTTTTATGTTCAAATACCAACAACAAAGAGAGTGAGGGGGCTCAGGGGAAAAATGTTCAGTAGGTAGAGTATGTGCAAGTCACTTTGTAGCTACAGACGTGATGGATCGCAGCAGCTTTTACACGGTCAATAGAGGTAATATTAACCTGCTCCTGTGAACGCTGGAGTCAGTGAGAGTTTGAATACATTTCTAAGCAGTTCTGCACCCTTTAAAAGTGGCCGAGCAGACTTTAACTCTTAAACAGCTCTCTTTGGGGTCAGTATTTTGCAGCTAACTTCATCAGAAGTAGTCACTTTAAAAATCACAAGAGAATTTATTCCATTGCACTTACATTAGGCATTGCAGAGGTACTTTTTTCTTTGTTAGCTGATGAGAGAAGATGGAAATAATTTAGGGAATAAACAAAGTGAGTTAATGGTCACCTATATTAAGTTTTCTGAGGCCAGATAATCATTTATGTACGTCACTAACTGTTTTATTAAGTGTAAAGTGAAAAGATAAACATGACAATATAACAAGCGTAAGGTAACAGTACAAAGATGACGATTCCAGGTCGCTTGTTTTCCTGTATTGAAATTGTGTAATACACACCGCTTAAGTAACTTTTAAGTATAATTGAGCTCCTTTTGTGCAAGATCCAGTTACAAAAGTGATGATTTCATGATGATGTTGTAAAATATGGCACTAAAAATACCTACATAAGGCATTTTTGCAGAGGTATGAAACAGGGGTGTGTCCAGGGGGGCAGCTTCAGGTGGCTTTGGCCCACCTTTAAACACAAAAAGCTTTCTCTCATTCGTGGCACCCAAAACTCCTGAACTATGACTGGCTATTTGAATTGTAAGAGGAGGAACTTTTGAAACAGTTTGGTTTCATTTGGGTTGTGTGGCGACAGGCTCGCTAAACTGGTAGATTCCCTTCTAGGAAATGCAGCCAGTTCCCTTTGTAAATAGTTTAATCTGTGACTCTGGGTGTTGTTTTCTGTCTGGTTTGTTGCACAGTCTAATGAGCGAAGGAGATTTAGATGTTGCCACTTTGAATCTACAGGAATCAAACATTTCTTTGACCTCAATCTGAAAAGTTCAGAAAAATAAATGAATAAACTTTAAAGACAGGCACCTCTCTCTGCTCCCTGTGTTTTAATCTAAATTAAAAGTCCAATCTCAGCATATGTGTGCAGGAAAGTGTCAAGATTCTCCACATTTTTCCAAACTGAGTTTTTGACCATCATTGCTTTAGAAATTATTATGCTGCTGAGTCTAAATCCTGCTCACAGACACACACATCCAACTCAGATTAGAGATTAACCACAAGATCGCCTGAGTGGGAAACGGCTTTCTAACATTACAGTCCATACATCATTCTGCACATCCAAGACCGCACTATAAACTGTAGTCTAAAAAACACTCTGAACTTAGGTTTTTGTCTTGGTTTTGAAAAAGAAGTCATAGAAAAAGGTGTATAAGAGTAAATCACATGTGCAGGTTAGGAAGAAACTCCCATTTTGAGAAAAGTTAAAAGTTCAATATCTGACCGTCTTCGAGCTGCACTCTAGGAACAGTTTAACCTACAGCTAAAGCCCAAACCTGACGACGTAAGACACAATTACACAAGAGCGGCTGTTAAATGGAAAATGTACATCACAGTGAAAACACGTCTTTAGATTTGTTGTTCGAGTGTAAAGAGCAACCATCAGCAGGTTTATCCGGCGTTGAGGGAGTATCGTTCCCACTCCGTTGACTCTTTAGTGGAAAAAGCGGAGTTGATATGAGGTTACTGAATTTAAAGATGTGCTTGAGGGGGGGCATCTCACCGCAAGAAAATTACACACTCTCCGAGAAATGTCAGCTTGTATTTAATGTGTAACGGTAAAAGTTGCCCTTGTATGGCCCTTCTTTGATTAAGCCAACAATTGGACACCGTGTAAGAATAATGTCGTGACTAAGAGCGCAGCTTTTGACATTAGTTGCATAACATCCTGCTATTCTTATTTATTGTCCACTGTTAAATCAAGCAGGGAGGCTATAAAAAATAATTTGAAAAAGCTTCCTTGTGAGATCAAACCAAAGACCAGATGTAATGAAGCTGGACTACATGCCCCTTTGGCATTTGAGAAACTTGGCCAACTCTGCACCAAAGCATCCGCTCTAATCTCGGACCACTTTCTCTCTCTCCCTCACCGTGTTAGGAACAGAAGATGATTTTCTAAAGGCTTTTTATTTATTTACTTGTTGATATTAACTAAAAACTCTTGTAAAAGTCAGCGCCTGCATTCCTCTGTCAGGTTGATTCAACAGGCCAGAACCGAAAGCTTTTATCCAGGAAGGAGTTTTACTTTTGGCTCGGCAACACAGGGGTGATTTGGATGAGCGTGGCGCATAAAGAATGCACAGAGGATTAAGTGAAATCGCTGCATAAGTGTGATTTATGAGCCATTCTGCGTCAATAGCCTGTGACCGGCCTTTACTTCTTCTACCCGAAACACATTAGTGCTAATTCAACTCCTTTGTAAAACTCTTTAAGGTAATAGGACGTGTCTTTGCAGAGGAGTTTTGGATCTCACTGTGAGAAATCCATGAGCAGTTTCCTAATAATTCTAATGGATTATTCATGCAGAGCAATTTGGGACTATTAAGTGAAAACTGCTTGTACAGTGTGCAGTTGCTCAACATGCCTGAAACAAAAAAGATCCATCAGAGTCAGAGCAGATCAATGATATTCTGATGGTGAAACTGTGACTGACAACATTTGTGCAAACGGTCCGAGTAAATCAAGACGAGCTCAGTCCTGGAAAAAAAGCTGCTTTCATTTAAGTTTTTCTGCAGGCTTTTGGTAAATAAGGCGCTAAATCTGATTACGCCGTTTTGGATGACTGCATGTTGGAGTTTCATGAAAGGACGCTAATGTGCTCAGATTGACTGAATGCATGCATGAGGCTCATGGACGTGACGGAAAAAAGAGGAAATCAGAAGAAGTGACAACAAACCCAGAGGCCTAAACACTTTATGACACAGTGTATATATGCAGAAAGCCAGTAATGAGATCCTGATGTATGCTGTGTCTATCAGACAACGCAGGCCCCATCCACACATCAGACTGTCAGGGAAAAACTCTGGGAGGTTTTCTGGAGGCACCTGCTCTGCTCCTCTCCAGGGACCGACGCATGAGGCCTGATTGAAGTGCCAAAAAGCATCGGGCTGAGTGAAGTTATTTGATGTAATGCCATCACCAAGGTGAGCAACATTCAAATACAGCACGGTTATGCAATTAAATGTCCTCCTCCTCAACTTTTCCTCCTGCCTCCTCTGACAGATGTCAGGAGATCCGAGCGCTCGGGGATGAGAAAGTGATTCA